GATAAACTGTCAGGAGGACAGACAGAGTTTTTAGTTAAGCCACAGCAAGTATCTGTCTCAGTGACTAAATAAAGCCATGTCTGTCATTTCAGGAAAAAGCCTGGAGAAAAGAAATATATCGTCGAAACATAAAATCCTTAGACACTTGATATCAGTGTGCAGCATTTTTAGAGAAACGTCATAAAGATATATTGGGTAAAAATGCAGCACAGCAGGCAGTGACCCTGTACAGAACCAATGATGGACTGATTTTAGTTTTATCCTGACAAACAGGATAAATAAAACACTGAAGCTGTTCATATGTGTACAAGACCCGCTGGTGTTTCTGCTCTGACATAATACGATGTGATACAATGCTGTTCGATACAAGATGATACAATTTAAATCCCATATCTCAGGATATAATACGATACATTACGATACGTTACGATAAGTTATAATACGATATGATACAATAGAATACGATTTGAGACAAATCAATCATTTAAAATTCAAAAAGTTATAATTTGATTTGATACAATATGATTCGATTATATATGATTCAACTTGATTTGATAGATACAAAAGGATACTTTTCATGCGAAATGATTCGATACAATATAATACAATACTTTAGGATATGATATGATACAATTTGATACAATTTGATCCCATACCAAAGGATACAATGTGTTTTGATACTTTACATTACCATACAATACAATAGAATAGAATACGTTATGCTAAGTTATGATACGATATGATACGATACAATAGGATACTATTCGATACAACATGATTCAATACTGTATGATGTGATATGATGTAACGCTAAGATACAAAATAATATGATAAGCTACGATACAATTCGATACAATATGGTACAATTTGATTCCACACTGTAGGTTATGGCACAATACAATAAATTACGACATGTTACAACATGATATGATACGATAAGATACGATACAATTCAATACTCTCTTACATAATGATGAACTGACCAGTCGACCAGTCATTTAAAACACATGGCAACCATTAGAAATAAGTTTGTAAAAATCCTGGCATTGACAAATTAAGGCAATCAAAAACAATCAAAATCTTTATCCTCGTATTCGTACTCCTACATTTTAATTTTAACATCTACCTGGAAACTTCAGTGGTTTCTTGAGAGCGTGAAACAATCAAGCTGAGAACCATTCTGATAAACAGAATAATGGAATAAAGAGAAAAGAAGTGGTGAGTAATTGTGTCAGAGAATAGACAGAACATTTTGAACAACAGTTTTCATTCTCTACCAAACACCTAATTTCTAAGACAGTTACTTCAGGTGTGACCGCAGTGAAAACAATTTTAATGTCTTGTTTTTGATCACCAGGAGCTGAGTACACATGATGTACTCTTAAGTCTGTACAGTCACCTCTGGACCTTTTATGCTTTTTCCTGTACTTGTACAGGAGTGTTTATCCTTGTGCGTAACAGAGGCACAGTATGGTGCAAACACTTTCCTCTTATTTCTTCCTCCGGTTGTGTTCCACCTCAACAAGCTGATGTCTTTGAGTCTTTATTGTTTCCACAGGGAGTCTGCTGACCTTTACCTCTCAGCTGTGGAGCAGGTACACCTCTACAGTTAGACGACGTTAACCCATCCTCACAAGAGAGAGAGAGATACTGTGGAAAAGGAAACTGGCAGTAGAGTCAAAACTGTTTAGAACAAAAAGTAAACTTGTGTCTGTGCTGGTGACATTATGATACCAAAGTTTAAGTTTGCATGAGAGGGGAAAACACCCTCTCTGGTAGTTTTGAATGAATGAGAGCAGAAATTTGGCATTATAGTTTGTCGCTCTGGTTGCGTGTTTTTGCCAAAACCTCAAACAGTTCTGGTAGAATATTAAAAATCCAGCTGCCCCGCACACGAGCGGCACAAATTTAATTTGTTTGTGATTTTCTTTCCTGACTGTTTTCATCAAAATATAAACTGGAAAATGGAAAAATCCTTTGTTATTCCAGAGCGTGGGTGACTTTTTAAGGAAGTAACTATTCATGGAAATTGAGACGGCACAAACTCACTGTGTGGACAAAGGACACTCTAATTAAAGTCTATACAATCATTCAGGTGTCTGCTATCATCCTTTAATGCAAATAAAGGTCTTCTGCACTTCTTGGAGTCTTTTTTTTTTTTTGTTACACTCATAAATCACAACCAAAGAAAGTTGTCACAGCTGAAATGACTTTTAGTACAGAAACTGCTGCACCGCTCTCCATTATCTATCATGTCCTTTTGAATCCTGGAGAGAAACTGGGGAATACAGCCTGGTGACACTTTTGAGTTTTCTTGTTATTCGTGCCGGAAAGATTTAAAGATTTGGAGAGAGCTGGAGCACACCTGACAGAAATTCAGAGTTGTGGTCAAATGTGTCATCTGTTTTTTTTACTTTCACCCAAATATCATCTTTAATTCCCCGCCTGTCCTGTTGCTGCAGCTGGAGACTCCTCCTGATTCTCACATCTCTTCGCCTTGCACCCCTCTATTTCCAATCTTTTTCTTCCAGTTTATTTCCTCCAGCTGAGAAGTACCTGACTTTCTCCTTCCTCTCTCCGCTTGACCCCCTGCTCGCCTCACTCCCCTCACAATGCTGCTTGATTGATTGGAGCTCTTGCTGCAGGGCCACATTTGCTCACTGCTTGACCGGATTAAGACCGCCCTAGCACCCACATGTGCCACTGTGTGTCCATGTGGGCTCAAGTTGGGTGCTCAGCTGTCACAATCACTGCACCAGAGGCAAGAAATCTCAAATAATAGACACATGATCCCTATTTTTAGACACAGTATCAGTTTGTATCTGAAGATTTGATCATGAGTCTTCACAATACACCTGCTGAGGCCACTTTTACTTCATCCTCAACTTCAACCGAGTCATCCTTATACCAGAGACCTCCTTTAATTTTGCACCTTTGGAGGTGAAAGTTCACCAAGGTGGATTCACTGAAGCAAAATGAGCAACAGAGTCAAATGCAGACACCTTTTCCTGGTCTGTGCATGAATTTGAATTTGAAAAAGAGCCAAATTGACCTCTTATAAATAAAATGCAAATGCTTTTCAGGAAGGTCTAAATATCCTTTGGTTCGGTTTCATCCATTTTAATAAATGGTCTCAAAGAAACAGCCCCAGAGCTTCACTTGTGAACCGAAAGGGGGAAATTATCTTCATTCTTAACTTCATTTTCTTGGCAAATCCATCAGACGGACCAAGGAAGGGTCATTATCACCTCATCCATATGCAATCTTTTCACAGAATGGGTTTTCTGTATGCATCCATTTCCAGTCCTATAATATTGTTATTCTGATATGAGGAGGAAATGACTTACTTTAATTACATGTGGGGGAACAATCACTCCCTCTTTTGGTCTGTTTGCATAAGGAGTAATAAGAGCGAAGTCCATGACGAAAAGGGGGAAATTCATAGTTTTGTATTTACTGAGGAAAGTTGCAATGTACCCACAAAGATGAACCAATCGATTTAAGTTCTCGGTGTTGAAATGGGACTAAATAATTTAATAAAATGAAGATTAAAGTATGAATTAGTATTAGTTTTTCTCATCTGGTGTTCTGTGAAAAGAGTCAAATGTGAAGAATTAAAGATAAAACATCAAAATGAGGTCCAAGTTTAGGGAAAACAATCCTTCTGTAGACTTTTCAGAGGTTTTTTGGCTTTAAAGGACAAAAAAACTCAAAGAAAAAAATGTAAATTCAGGAAAAAATGTCTTGCTTTGTTGCATCATTAGAGAAAAATTTATTTAGACTGATTATTTTTCCAGCGACAGATTAAATAGACCAACCAGATTGGGTCTTAAAACCAACACCATACTTAGAGAGGCTCACATATAAAGGTACAGCTGTGTATCATCAGCATAGAAATTAAAGGCAATACTGTGTCTTTCTATTTTATGCTTTAAGGGATGCATGTCTAAAGAAAGTAAAACCCCAAACTGACCCCTGGTGAACACCATACTGAATATAAAGACAGCAACTTAAAACCTTCTGTTTGTTGGATAAGATACAAACCAGTCTAAAACTGTGCCCAAAATCCACCTCTACCAGAATTATTATAAAGAAACTCAATTTGACTCTGACTCTCAGTTTTCTTTCAGATTGGCTCCAGCGTGTTTTTACTTCCACCACCCTCCACTTCTAATATCATCCCACCTTTCATTTCCCCTTGAAACCCAAAGTCAAACAGCCTTCCTTTTCATTTTCCCTCAAAGAAATCTCTGATAGTGTTGGACCAGCTTTGTTTGTGTTTTGACAAAAACACTTGCTGAGGCTCTTTTCTCAAGAGCAGCGGCTGGCAGATGTTTTGTAAGCCACCAAATAACCAGATCAGTCAGAGGCTCTTGTGTTTGTGAGAGCCAGCTGATGCCTCAATTCAGGGCTGACTTCTGCTGTACTGTCAAAAAGCAGAATCACACAGTACAAACAGAAGAGGGGCTGGTGTTTTGTGACATTGTGCATATGTTCTCACTGACTTCCCTGCATCTTCTTACTCAATGTGAATAATCGAGACATCTCCTAAATTATTTTTCAGCAGAGTTGTCTTGAAATGTATCACAAAAGTTTGATTGTCTTATAGTGCAAGCTGGACTCCTATTCTTTTCTTCGGGTTTATAGATTTACCCCCATCTTTACAGAGCTTGAGTGGTCAATAATTGACATTACAGCAATTTAAGTGATGTCGCTTATGATTTTACCATGCCTTCATCGAGCATGGCAGTAAATTAGTCATTTCCAAGGAGCACAAAAACATTAAAAAATCTGTTCTAATGGACAGTTTTAAGGGAAAGTGCTTAGTTTCAAAATAAAACAGAAAATCTTGAAATGAAATTGAAATAAACAGAAACCTTTACATGTAACTGTCACAATAATTATACACTACTGCAGCTATGATAACTCCTTCAACCACATAATCCACATCTGCCTCCTGAGGGGATTTTAAACAGCAGCTGCGTTGGATTCCCTACAAGGACTGTGATTGGACGAGGGCTGACCAATGGGATGAACGGACTCTTTATCGCACGGTAACCAATCAACCCGTAACACCAGTCACCCCAACAATCACCTTTAATCGACAGAAGTACACAGTTTGCGGTGAGTTTATCAGAATTTTAATGTATCTGATATTTATTGCTGATATGAGACGTTTTTTTTTTCAAAGCTGGCATGAGTTTAATTATCAACATAGTACTAAAAATAAGGGTGGCATTAACTAATACAGCTACCAACGTACAAGTTAAGCTAACACTAGCTAAAAACGTTGATGTTAGCTCCGAGCTCGACAACACGTCAAGAAGCTTCACTTTGCTTGTGTTAACGAGCAGTCAAAGAGACTTAAAACTACATGGTTGTAGTAAAACTACAAGAAACTAAGAAAGAGATTTCTGTGGCAGTTAGTAACCGTATTTGCTGAAAGTAGTGTTGTTTCGTTCGCGAATGACTCGTTCAAAAGAACCGTATCTTTTTAGTGACGTATTGAACCGAATCATTTCCTCGAGTGATTCGTTCGTTTCGTACATCAGTTGAGCTGAAGTGAGAAACAGCATTGCCAGTCGAGCAGCCCGGGAACAAGGACCTGCACCGACACCTGAATCACTTGGTGAACGAATCATGCATTGAACTACACTCTCATGAATCACTTTTGTCAGACAAAACTACCTTTTTTTCTGCTGAATTGCCACCCCATCAACCTTCATACAGTAGGACACGCATGTAACAAGAAGTGCATTAAACCCGCAGCATCCTATCATTGCAGCGGTTTGGGAGGGAACGGTGTATGCTCAGTTTGAATTCTTCCAAACGTTCAGTGAACGAATCACTCACTGAGCCCAATTTACTGAGCAGACCTGTTAATAGCATGCCATAGGACAGTACACTTAGAACATCATGACTCATGAGCAAGTTCATTTTTACAAACCTGTTTGTCAGAGCAACACAGCCAAACACTCGTGTCCCCCAGTCCCAGAAGCTTTGAATTGAACTGAATCCTGAACCATCAGTTCAGGAGGTTGGAGTCGCAGGCTTCTCCAGCCAAGCGCTACATGAATCGATGATTTGGTGAACGAATCTTGAACGAAAAGAACTGCAGTGCCCATCACAAGCTGAAAGTGGGAGAAGTATTTGTAGCCCAAATTTGAAGTGTTCAAGTCATAAGTGTTTAACTTTTACTGTTACATTGACCATCCGAGACAGCTTGTGTTGAGTGCTTTTGTTCATCAGTTTGGTGGAGTGCACATGTTTGTACTGCAGTTTTTTATTCTATGAGGAAAAAACTAATTTCAATCAAGCAGCAGCGCCTTTTTATTTTTGCATTTTTAATCACAAGAGGCTGACTCACTGAGCGATTAATGTTGGTACAGTCATCATGCCCAACAGTTATTGTTGGAATGATTTTCATATGGCAGTGTGGGTGGTGTGTATGCAACTTGTGCTTATGTGCATGAGTGTCTATTTTTTTTACTCTTTTAAATGTGTGTATTGGAACATAATCTGTAAATCTGTGTGTGCATTTAATGATTAAAAAAGTCCCTTGTGGCGTCAGCGGGTGTGATAAATCACAATAGTGTTTCTCAAAACAAGCAGAAAGTGAGGAAAGTCACTGATGAATCCCAATTGTATAGTCTCGTATTTATCAAGTTGCCTCTTTTTCCTTATTCCAGAGATTTGTTTCAGTTATTATAAAGTGAGCAGTGTTATTTCGTCTCACTGAGCTATTACCAGGATAAGGTCAAACTTGGTGTCAGCAGCGAAGCAGTGAGAAGCCGATAAGCGAACTTACAAGCAGGGTTTCTGTAGAAGCAGAAAAGATTTGTCTGAAAGGCCAAAAATCTTTTCATTACCAGCAAAGAAAAAGAAACAGGTTGTTGAGACAATGTCAAAGAGTTTTATTCTCTTGCTCATTGTATTTGCAAGTTTTAAAGGCTTTGTCACAGCAGCCTTTGGGTCTTTTTGGAAAAGTACAGTTTTATTTGCTCACTGGACCTAGATTTAGTTTACGCTTGTCTTTCCTTTGAGAGTTATTGAATATCTTATAGCTGTTTCCAATCCCTCAGGCCCCGTGTGTTTGATTTTAACTGCCTGAACCAGTGTTTGTTTCATTCATAATACTGAGCCTCAGGAGAAAGGGCTGAACGGCAGTTTTGAACATCAGGAGACACCATCTTTTCCTCTTAACTGCAGTGACTAATGACTGTTATTGTGGAGCATCCTCAGCTCTTTGTTTTGTAAAATCATGATTCGTCTGAGAAAGGAGAATGATGATATGAATGGGAGGAAAAGGAAAAATGCTGCAAACAGAGGGCAGCCAGCTGGTGTGGAATAAGAGGTAAACAGATAATAAGGCAGAAAGAGGGGGCAGTCTGACTGAGATAGCAGCCATCCTAACAAAATATAATCTCACAGCAAACATGTGAAAGTGAAACACACAGTCCGTACGGACTGGTTTAGGACCTGATCACAGTGGAACGCTGACTTTGTTGCATGTTTCTAGTCTGTTTTTGTCATGATTGACCTGTGACAAACGACTCAAGGCTCGTAAACAGAATCAACACTGACCCTGTAGGCAGCATGTTTACTGTGTGGGATTTAAATCAGCTGATATAAATAATCAGTTTGGCAGAGGTGGGCAGTCTAAACACAGTGTGACTCTTGTGTTTGACCTACATTCAGCCTATTGAAAATATCTCCTGGTAGATATTAACTATTATAGGAACATCAGACCTCAGTTTCTGAACAGTATCAACCCTCATATTTGAAGCTGTCTGTTGAGATGAGGTGATGATACAGGAGAACCAGTGTTTAGATTGTCTTTTTATTTTTGCAGAAGTAGTGAAACAATGATGGAAAAGCAGTAAATCTGAGAGTGAAAAGTCTGAGACCTGTAGAGACAGATCAATGCAGAAGTTCGACTAAAGAGCCTGGCAGTTGGTGTTTGGTAGACACACTGATATCTGTTGGTTTAAACTGTAAGGAGGAGAGAGGAAAGCTTTTAAGAGGCTTAAGAATTTCTCAAGCTGAGGAGGAAATAGTGTAAAGATGGAGAAATGTCACATCTACAAGCTCATGCAACTCTGCTGGACAGGAAAGGCATTGAGCTGTAAAAATGCAACATGCAGTGTGAGCTGCAGGCAAAAAGGCTTGTTATTAAAGACATAAATACATGTTGTGTAGAATAACATTGACCATACCATGACCCTGACTATGTGGACATGCGTATTTTTCTAAGCAAGAACAAGTGTGCAGAAAACAGTTCGCACTGTGAGTCTGAATCAGTTTTCCTTCCTCTTGTTGCAGCATTTTCACATTTGATAGTTTGAACCTTACTCTGTCTGTATGACCGTATGTCCATGGAGAATATTCTTGAGCCGGCTTCACATGATGATACTCAGAGTGTTGAACAATTTCTACACCTCTGTATGTTCTGTAGTTGTGCCATATTGTATCTGTAACTGCTGAGGAAAATGTAGGATTTGGATACATGAAGCATCTGGTTTATTTTTGTTATCTGAAAAAATCGAATTGTTTTCAAAGAATAATCAGTAATTGATCATTAGCATGTCCAAATATCAATCCTTTTATTTCTTGTTCAAGTCTGAGGAATCTCATCTCATTAGTTTCCCTTAATGCATGATTCCCCATTACTTCATCAACGGGGGGACATGTTTATGGGAAGAGAGGACAGTATCTCTGAACTGTCTTTTGAAGTCTTTTAGAGCATGGATCTACAGGCAAAAAAGTGACCAGAACAGCTGAAAGCAGTTGCAGTAGGTACATTTTCTGCCATTGAGTGTTCGATACAAACTTTTAACCAGCAGCCTTTTGCTTCTGGATTCACAAAGAAACTGTCATAACAGTGACAGAGATCTGAAAAAGCTGAGTTTAATTTGATTTACTCTCAGAGACTAATGACAGTAATTCGGTAAGCTGTAGAAAACTGTCCAATTACTGTTATTTATTTGTTTGCTCTTTTCAGCAGAAATGAAAGGAGTAACGAGTCAAATCTGCACTTTTCTCTTGGATGATTATTACTCATTCCTGCCTCTGACAGTTTAGTGGATTGGTTGGAGTTTTTTTTAGATTAGAGAAACAGTCAAATTAAAGTGTTTCCTGAGTGCATTTGCCGTGTTTTGAGTGTGTGACAGTGAAAAGTGAGGAGCTTGATGCACCAAAAGCTGGACTGTTGTCAGCTCTTCCTCTCATTTCTTCTCTCCATGCTGTGAGACATCAGCGGGAGCTCAGGTGTGGCGTGTAGAGCGGTGATCAAAACACACCTGCACACCTGCTCAGAACATGCTGGCCATCATTGATGTGGAAAGGCAAAAGGCACATATACCGCTGATCCCCAAACATAAGAACATATAATTATGGTGCATGACTCACTGATTACACAGAACATGACAGTGACTCTTCATGCAGCCTGCAGGGTGGTCGGATGTGACATAAGAACTCTGTATATCACAACAACCTCTGAAGCTGCTGATTTATTCAGAAGCATTAAAATTAAAATAATTCCTTCAGCAGATAGTATACTGCTGTTATTTCTCAGCCTGTGTCTTGGTGCTGCTGCTGCACGTATCATGAATGAGGCTTTCTCTGCAGTGAAACTCACTGACGCACATGTTGCTGAAATAAAACAAGTTCACACATAAAACATAAATTCCATAAATAAAACGTCTTTGTTTGGAGTGGCTGCTCTGATTTCAACTTTTAAATGAGTCGGTGAGTTTTGTAGCATTTGAATAATAGAGGTGTAGGAGCCAAATATGCTGCTGTGATAACATAAAATGAGTTGCAGTTCACTTTGTATGCCTTAGGTGTCGCTGTCGTGTTATCTGGGGATCAGGAGTAAAGGTAGCTACATTACTGTTGCTGTCAGGCGATTGACCTGGGAGGGCAAAAGGTTTTCGACCGCTGTGGCGCTAAATTCCGGCGTTTTTCTTTGTTTATTCAGTGTTGCTCGACATCAATCGCAAATGGATTTTGGTAATGTCCGTCACATTAAATTTTGTCCGCTGCATCAGAGGAACAGCATCCAGACATTTTCTGATCATCAAAGTCTAACGGTAGACATTAAGACATCACATTAAGTCATCTTCTTTGACTTCAAATTTAAAATACGATGAGCTATCAGCTGCTGCCATGTTGTTGTGTTTTGTTTTGTGTGGCTTTGTGTGAATTTCCCTTCAGGGATCAATAAAGTTCTTCTTCTTCTGGTCAGTATTCTGCACACACCAGTCTCAGCAGAGACAGACCAGAGATGTCTCGAAGAAGTGTGTAATCTTTGTATTGAAAAACTTGAGGCCTCAATTTCCCCTCAGTTGCATTTACGTGAGTGAAGTGTGAGCCGTCATAAATTGCATGAGTTTTCAAACAAATGCAAATTGCTCAGAGATGTTGTTTGTGGAGTGTGTATTTCAGGGCTGAAAGGACATTTTGCATTGTTTTGGTTTGTCACCATCTTCCAAGAAAAGAAAATATGCCTCTCAGTGCACGGCTGAGGTTATCAGCCGTTGTTGAGGACATGACAGTCATTTTACAACAAACCCCTCGGTGTGCCGTCGGTGTCTCTGAGGACAAAAGATCTACTGCTTCTATCTTGGACTGGAGTGTCTATGTGTCTCCCTAATGGCACAGGCAATAATGGGGACGTCCCAGTGGCATATATCTAGACAGGAGTGATAATAGGGACGTCCCGGTGGATTGTCTCAGTAAATGGCTTCTTGTTGATGTTCCAGGTAATTGCAGACTGCAGCTGTCATTGTTTTCATCCCCACAGTTGGTTTGCTTGTCATTTCTGTTGACAAGAGAAGACATTGTTGTGCCCCTTCGTGCAGAGATAGTTGATTTCTGTGCTTGGGTTTGTGTGTGTGTCCCTGGTAGACGCCTGAGTGCATCAGTGTTTGCTTGGGTTCCATTAATTTTGTAACTGCAGCTTTAGAGTGACTCCAGGCATCATGCATCCATCTTTATCAAAAGAGTCAAATATTCCTCTGATGTGGTTTTACATGAGTAACTCTTATGTTTGTGTGTGATTGCAATCCCAAAGCCTCCACCGTCATAAAACCAGGATATTACCGTCATATATCATCTGTTTGCTGAATGCTTTGTTACCATACTGAAAAGCTACACAGCGGTACTGAATATAAATTGCCTTATCTTACTCAAGTGTGGCAAAACAACATTTGATAAACAGTTTAATCTGTTTCAAATGTCTCCATGAAAAGAAACATGAATGCATATTCTCAAAAGAGTCTCGTAAAACCTGACAAAGAGGCGTAAAGTGTGGAAAACAAATGATGTGTCGTCTTCAGGAACGGGCTGAAGTTTACACTCCTCTGTCATAAGAGATAAGAATTAGCATAAAGATGGTGATAACTTTATTTAAACTTCATATAATTACAAAAGAGAACACAGAGAAGTTTGTTTAAGCATTAAAACGTTGAGAATGAGGTGTGTGATCAGTGATGAATTCCTCTCATCCAGCTCACAGCCTTATTTTTATGTGTGTCATTTAAAAGCCAAAGTGCTGATATTTCTGCACACCACTTTTCCAAAGTATTCAGTCTCTTATTTTGTTAACAAGGTTTATATTATGATTGTGCCTCCAAAAGGATTTTTTTTTCTCTGTCCCATTTTCCTGACATCCCCATCTTCAAAAAATCAGGAGCACAGGCACAAAATGTAGGAGTGGCAAAACAACGGCAACGTCCATTTTGACATTTTTTAACAATTCATTATTTTTTGCTGTGAGTATGGTTTACTGTTTGTTAAAGGATCTTATTCTTTTCAGAGGCGACTCAGAAAATAATCTCTGCACTTTCCTCCAAAATGATGGAGATTAAGAATGACTTAAAGTAGGGCTGGGCGATAAACCGAAAATTTACCGATACCGAAATGTATGACAATAATCAATGTCATTTTGCCAATGTTAATATATTCGGTGTCAAAATTTTATCATACTATATTGTGACATTATATATCATACTATATTATGTCATGGAATAGTATGTTTTTATCATGCTATACTCTGACATTTTTAATATACTGTACTATGACATTTTTTTACACCAAAATTTGACATTTTTATCATATTATACTATATTTTTAAATACTACATTATATTATGACATTTTTTTCATACTAAATTATTAAATTTTTATCATACTATACTTTGACATTTTTATAACATACTGTACTATGGATTTTTTTTCAATAAATAAATAAATCAAAGTTAGTTTTGGATGTGTGTAGGTAGGCTATGGTCTCATGTCCCTTTAAGACGCTGTCCTATGTCAGAGTCATGACTCCACCCCATCCAGTCTGTAACAAAGAGGGAAAGACAGGTGAGGAGATGGAGGACGGTTCAAAAGTTGGAGCGGCTGAAGTAGACCAAGTTAATGTGGGAGGGGGTGAGCAGCTTGTGGAGTAGTTATCGTCCATTTGTTGTTATTGAGGTGAACTGCTCAATATATCGAGATATTGATTTGAGGCCATATCGCCCAGCCCTTACTTAAGTTTTGATCAAGTTCATCTTAATAACCTAAATGATTTTAAGGTACTAACACAAGACTCATGTGGCTCTGTTTTTGTCCAGTGCATTAAAAGGATCAAACAAAAATAATGATAAAAAATCTTAGTGCAGTTGGTGATGTTTGAGACATTAAAAAAATATGGTGGCATGTCACTCTTCAGGCAGGAAACTCTGATGGTACTTCTCAGTGTAAGCATCTCTGCACACGTTTGTTTTCGAACAGGTTTGACGTGCTGGATGGAGAACAGGGAGGCCTGGATAACAAAAATAACTCCAGCCAAACACTGCTCCAACACTGCTGCTCTGATGAATCATCTGAAGAGCCTGACTCACATTTTAGAATTGATGGCCATTACCCTGTTTTCTCCAGTACATTGCATGACTGGTGAGTGCTCAGTTTTCTCTCTTCTGCAGTTTGTACTTAAGTGTGTCCTCCAAGACTTTTTCTGTCAACATGTTGGCTGTTAAGAATTGTTTGTGCAACAGTCAGACAGCTAGAGGTAGCGAGCGTGACTCATATACCAGCTCCTGTGTTTGCCATCAGCCACCTGCATTCTCAGCTAAGTTTGAACCCACTCATTATTCTGGCAAACTAGTTTTATTATTATTATAGAGCTAACAATTATAAAACGTAAACCCTTTTGAATCCAGTTTGTCTCCTGGCCCTTGAAAGCTCTTTAAATGTTGCTAAAAGAAGATAAAAGTGTGAAAATCGGCTCGTAAAAAATGAATAATCTTCATTTTGACATGCTACAGGTAGCAGACGTGTGATTAAAAAAGAAAAACTCCCTCAGACGGGATCATTTAATTCAAAGAAATCGTGTGAGAAAAAGTCAATACCCGGCTTGAATGCTCCACTTTCAGCAGATAGACGAGTGTTTTAACAACCCAAGCAGAAAGAGGTAATTTGGGCTGTGCTTAAAGGATTATTGAAAGTGATGCTCCTGGGCCGCAGGATTTTCCACTCAGCACTTCTTTAATGTTTTTGTGACAAAGGCTGAACAAAATGCACCGTAAAATTCTCTCTTTCCCAATGAAACCTTCAGGTTTTTCCTTCGCCATCCTCGCAGAGTCAGCCCGTTGGGTTTTACGTGAAGTAGTTTTTCTAAATTTAAGGTGTCACGAAGAGGCTCTAACAGATCTATAGATGAGCTTTTTTTTTCTATGGTGTGGTTGACAGTCTTTGGTTTGGGCTGCTGATAGAAGCTGCATGTTAGAAGAAAGATCTGAGAACCGTCGGTCATCCTCCGTCACTGATAGCTGCACATGCAGGGTGTTTGACAGCTTTATGCAGGAAACACGAAGACATGCTTAGAAGTTTTCTCCCCGTGTGAAGGATATTTATTTGGCTGTCCAGTCAATGTGAAACAGACTATTCTGTATGCGTGCTTCCCATTGAGTTATTTCACTCAGTAAAACTTACCAGATTTATTGTTTAGTTTGAGACTTAGTTGAATTTTGCTGTGCATTTGTCGTATTTAATACCAGCAATGTGAGCAGCTGAAGGAGTTGAAAGGCGAAAACGCCACAAGAAATCTCAAAATGCGTCTAAAATCACAGAAAAAAAGGACAATGATGGTCAATCAAGTCTCCAGACAAGTTCATCTTGTTGGCATAAAACTGTTCAGCTCACCATCCTCTAAAAAACAACATTTCCTCACTGACTTTTTTTGGTGATAAAAGTCTTAGGGGTCTGAATTTCGGTGCATCTCTACACTTTACAAAGTTTTCCTAAATGTGTTTTCTCTTTCCTACTTTGACTCTCGTAGTTTGGTGCAGCATCATCAGTCGTGCCGCTTTAAATCTGATGTTTATTTGTTGCAGCAGAGATTCTTGTGTTGGATATTCAGGCCTTAAATGTCAGTGCATTTGTGTTGTTATGCCTGCTGTAGTGTGCAGAACCTTTCAGAGCTTTAATTTGAATGTTGTTTAGGTTATGTAGACGTTTTACTCTAATGGGCTGGGAGCGGGAACTTTACTCAGGTCTTGTGGAGAAGAAAGAAACACGAACATCTCTTTGTTGGCTTTCACAGCATGTGAGCGACACCCTTTCTCTCTTTTGTTTCATCTTTTTCATACATGTCAGTTTTGTCTCCTTTCATGAGGCAGCTTTGCCAACAGAGCACAGACTGAAAATACTCTTTAAATACTTCTTAGGATTGTAAACTGACATCGCTCTTGACAACAAAGTTGACAGGAAGACGGCAAGCTTCCAGCAAAATGGAAATCTGCTCTCATAGCTGGTGTTAATAACAAAATATCCGTCAAGAAAGTTTTTTTATTAATGAAGTTTAGCTGACATTAGCTTCTCTGTATCCCATTGGTGCAAATGAATTTAAAGGAGTAAGATAAAGTCATTAATGTTGATAAAAGAAAGTTGCATCAGGAGAAACGTGTATTAGGAAATAAACTGTTAAACTCTTTTCTCCTTGAAATGTGAATGAAGATGAACTACAGCTCACGAAAAAAGGAAATAAGAAAAGAGACAATGCTTACACGTATCACAAAATCCAGCTTTTTTCTAGATCTTTGGGTCTCTCAAACCTAGAAGTAAAGGCTTATCCCAGTTTTTGAACTCAGGATATGATGTTTGGAAGAACAAACACAAAAACAGGATCATTAAAATACCACCAAGATACTCAAGACCGTGCAAAAACACCTTTAAATTTCCAACAGCAGTCCAGGAACAAAAAGTGATGAAACAGTGACTGAGATTTGGTCTTTGTGAATCCATCATATTTATTGGATCCTTTAAGAAGACCATTATGGTCTTCATAAAGGATCTAATGAGATGGGAGTCACAGTAAAAACGGACCCTGATTGTGGTTTAATTGGATGGTAGTTAGTGAACAATAAAAGGTTTAATAGTTCTGAATATTGCGTCTTCATTACAGCAGACAGTGGGGTGTATTTAGCAATAAAAGACCCAGAAGTATTAAACGCTCGTTAAAGGACACGAGCGGTTCATGGACGGACTTCCTGTCAGTAAGACCGTCTTTCTGCCCTGAATATGAAACCGTCGAGGTCTCAGCGGACCCCTGCAGCAGTTCGGAGTAGCTTTACTTAACAAACAACACATCTCTGAGGTTGATGTTGATCTCCCTTCCTGACTCTTAATGTTGTCCCACAGGCATCAACACAGAGCCAAGCCAAGGCAGCTGACAGCCTCTCTTTGGCTGATGTGTGGTCAGCCTCTGGTGGTGGACTGATCGTGTGTGTGTGTGTGTTCGTGTGCATGAATGATCCCCAGTTGATCCACTGATCCATTAAATTTCATTCATTGGATGACACCGGGTCTTCGGGGTTGTGACGGGGCTCAGAGGGGTCATCATGCATGTGTGCGAGAATGTGCAGTTGTGTCACTTGTGCACGCATGCAAGTGTGAGTTTGTCCGTGTGTGTCGCTGCCCTCTGCCTCCTCCACACCATCTGCTCACTGTGGATCAGTGTGTCCCTCTGAGCTCCCTGTAGGCCACTTAAGCGGGTCCAATCGCGGCGCAGAATTAATATTATGCAGAATAGATGCTTCTCAGTGTGCTGCTAATTGGAGGGAGAGTCACCTCACTAATGATGACTAACTGAATGAATAATGGGGCAAATAAAGGGACACAGAGGGATGCTTGGCTGCAGCTACAAACCTGACTGAGACTTTTCTGGAGTGAAAATGTTCAGGGCTGTAAGATAAAGTTTGGTTTGTGGCGTAGCACAATTTTTGGACAAGAGTTTTTTTCCACTTTGTACCAATCAGTGCAGGTACCACATCCCAGAAAATGTAATTTGCCCATGAGGAGTAAAACTGGGTTGATTCAGGTCTGCTTCCCACACTTCTCTGCAGATATCCTCCAGGACTAGTTTTTTAGACCTCCAAGAGAACATCCAGATGTTAGTTCATAGCAGTGACTCTGGTTATTGTCCAGTTACTTTATTTATGATATAAGAATAGAAAAAGGTGGAACAGTATTTTTAAACACCATTTCATATTCATAAAAAGCCTCAGTAAGTTTTTGCTCTGTTAACTTTGGAACTGGGCCTGACTTTGAAAACAGAGTAAAACTGGCTGCTCTTCCTGACCTTTTAACCATCTATTGTAATCATTACTCCAGTTAAACAAGTTTATTCTTTGAGCTTTGACTAGAGTTTAAATCAGTGTGAAAATTATCACACTGTGTTAGTTCTGGTCTCTTTTCTCTGTCTGAATGGGACGAAGACTACATTTCCCATGAGCACCACCCCTGCTGTTGCAGAGATGAGACTCTGTGGAATCAAATGAATGAAAACAGATTGTTTTAAAACTACTTTAAAACTTCGGACAGGATAGACACTTTCATTTGTAGCTATAAATAAGTTATTAACGGTAATGAATCAAAGGCAAAACTTTGTAAATTCTGTAATACAATCTTTTTGGGAAGATGGGCGGGGCTAAAAGACACGGGAAAACGGGAAGGGAGGGAAGGTTGCCAGGTAGTTGGGGAACATCTGCTCTGTCTTAGTGGTTGCTTGATGGTACATCATGAAGACAGGATGTTGTTGCCAGAGCTTGACAAACTTTATCTGTTTAATAGAGGTTAAAATAAGAAAATAAGATTGATTTTGTGTGTGTGTTGTACACCTCTCAGAAGTCTACATTTTTTTTTGTCATGGATATGTTTAAAATGAAAAAGTCAGAGACATAAACAGTGAATATGACAGATCTGTTACCTTGTTACCTGTTAAACTTTACTTGGAGCCTCTTTCTGCTCCAGTTTTACAACTACTCCAGATATTTTTGTTTTTGTGTGTGAAATTCCCATGACTTATTAACTTAGAGAAAGTTTTATGTTGAAAACTTTGTTAAAATGCAGAAGTATTTAATAAAATAGATAACAAGAGTCCCACTGGGCCACAATATCATTTTATTCCGCTACTATTTCCTGGTCTAATCTGCCCCCTGGTGACAAAATGAAAACACTACCACTGATGAGGAAGATTCACCTGATTCAATCCCATAGCGTAACATCCCATATTTTCTGATGTGCTCAAAATTGTAGTATGTCCCTAAAGTGTGATATGTGTATTTGTTGACCTGCAAACGTTCAGCTTCAGAATTCTGCTGCGTTAGGCGTGCCAACATCTCAGTAAATATTTCAGCACTGAAGTGAACAGAGCTTTGTGTGGTTTGAGACGGCTTTGACTGTTGGAGGCTCATGGTAAATAATTGATTGAAGCCTCAGCCTCCTGAGCATTAAGAAAAGTAGCTGCATCACAAAGGATCTCAGTGGAAACGAAGACGTCAGAACTTTTGTTTGCCGGGTACACTGTTGGTTGACAAAAGGTATTTGAAAAGGCACTCCTTCAGGAAAAAGACACGGATGTGGTCAGTTTCTGAAGCACTTTATTAAACCAAAAGCCCTGGATACAAAAACTGCTTCATCATTTATCAGTCATAAATAAATGCTTGTATTTGGTTGAATGACTGAAAAGATCTTTGATTACATCAGGAAATGAGATTCTGCTTCTCAGAAAATGAGTCATACTACCGGACATCCGTTTTCTGCAGAAACCTACAAAAATAGATTTTCTCCAAACTGATACTTCACCTTAAAGAGGATTTATATATATATTTATAACATTTTAAGGTCTAGGTACTTAAATCTTTGACCTGAAAAAACATAAAAACATATTTCCAGTCTGTCATTTAAACTGCATGAACTTCTTGGACCTGGTAACCTCTGCAGAGTCATGAAATGTACTTTTACAGTTATTCCTTACTGTTATATGATCTCTGTATCATAGAGTCGTATAAAACTGACCCTGAATATATTGTATACTGCTCCATTTTATTGCAGAGAGAGTATTTCAGTTAAGGCAATAAAACATACAAAACATCTTACAAAACTAGAACAAGGTCTCTCATATCCCCATGGCCTAGTCTTCCAAAGAAATACAACCTAACATACCAAGTTATTCAACATTTTGAGGACATGCACAGATCTGTCATTCATACTGAAGATGAAGACAAAAGCATCACTGGTACGTCGTTTACACGTGAATTATTGTCTGATTAAACCCAGCTACAGTTTAAAGTGCTGATCTCATTTCTTTGTTGCGCAAAAGGAAGAAGAAGAAGCTGTGATAATGTGATAATGACAGTATGTGATGCCTTTCCGTCCTGACATCCTGAGAGGACCTGCTACAGAACGTGAGCATGAACTTTGTCTTTAGAAAGTGGGACGGGCTGACTGGCAGCTTCCCTGAGCTCTGGTTCAAGAAGTCTTCTCAGTTGAACTGTAAAGATGGTTATATAAGGGGTGGGGTTTAAACCAAGTGAAGACAAAAGCAAAGAGAGAGCAAGTCCGAACATTTCTCTCAGGGTAGGACAGCATTCCTGCCGAGCAGTATCTGATTGCCTCCCTGGTTCTGTTCAGCAAACACTCAAAGCTGCTTCCTGTCACTGACTGGAACACATGAACAGACCTGGATTTACAGTGAAGATCTGAATCTTTTAGATAACAAAAAAACATGTTCAAAAAAATAAATTCAGTAAAAAGAACTGCTTCTGATTGACCCTTCAAATCATGAGAAACAATGTAGGATCACTTTCACATCACTGGACACATCATCAGTATTAAACTGCATACAAACGTCATATTGATTTGAAGCAGCGACTCAAACTCCTGCAAAGCATCTTCTAAATATAATAAACATACTTGAGCAGTAAAACCAAACAAATCTAATGTTGCTATTTATATACATATTAGATAAACTTTATCTATATAATAATACACTTTTTAAACTAACAGGATATTGGAATGAGCTTCTACTAAATAATCAGGTTTACTGGAGCTGTCTGTGCAGCTTCATAGTTTTGGTTTTAATGAAACATAAACTGAAATCAACAAAAGAAAGCAAACATTAATACACTGCAACAATCTACGACATAAAGCTGCAAAGCTCTTAATTTAAAAAGTTGTCTAATATTTGGCTACTGCATAAAAAAGTGAAGATTTAACTCGTTTAAGTGCTCTTCATCCAGCAAATGTAACAAGGTAGTTTAATAAGAACCTCAGCAACAATGCAAATGTTGATAACTTAATAAAAGTACAGGATACGGGACGAGAACGATGATACAGGAAATCATTGTCCTTTTGTTTTTGTGTGAAAGAGAGGCTCCAGTTCTAGTTTTACTCCAGAGTGTTCCCTCAAACAAACTCTGTTTTCTAAGTCAAAGTTCAGTCAGTGGACCGTACCGAAGGCTTACGTCAGGACAGTGAAATAAATCTGGACTGTCCTTGACTCTGATGATCTGGTTCAGTCCCTTGTGATGGTATTGGCCCTGAACCAAGAAGACTCTGCAACTCGTAAACACCTGAAGAGTTTAAAGCTGCTCCTCCCAAAACCTCGAACACCCTCCATCAAAGGAAAACAATTATAACAAAATAACATCTCGTCTTTTCACTTCAAGCCTTTGGGTGTTATCCTGTGACGTTATCTTGTAAACAAACTAGCATCAGGTTACATTACAATGTTTAAAAAATAATCAATTCACTTATCAACACGTGCAAAGCAGATAATTTGGTGTGAAATCTCGAATCTTTAACTTTACAGATGTGAGGACTTTGCTGCCTCCTGTAGGTCGACTGAACAGCATGTTTGAGGTTCTGTGTAATCCATCAGACACTCGTTTCAGTTCTTGTGTCAAGCAATTGGAAGACCCTGTCTGCTCCAAACATTTAAAACTCCTGCCTGTAATTTTACCAGCCGCTCTCTTTCACACAAAGAAATGTAATAACAGGCTGATCCGCATGATTCAACATTAAAATGAACAGAATTAAATCAAATAGTTTCTTCGGTGTTAATCTCACGAGGCACTCAACCAAAACTGTTCTGAACCCCCCAGACCCCCGACCTCATTCATCAATCGTATATTTATTAAGCTAATACAAAGGCTAAAGTCAGGACTGGCGCCGCCTTCGGTAAACAAAGACTGAGTACAAAGTTTATCAAACCACTGCACAACATTGACAGATGGAGTTCATGCAAACCGCTTTCAAAATCACCACAGCACAACAATCAGAGCTGAAGAGATCCCCGCATAAAAACACGGCCACGGTTTCTCCGAATGAAATATAAAAAAGACAGAAATTTACTGTAAAAAGAGAGGATAGTGCATCATGAGCAGCTGTGCTCTCTAGAAGATAACAAAAGTTGTATTAGTTGTAAATATAAAAGGTCACTGACATTCATGTGTCACAGAACCTGAAACTAAAACATTCACTGTGTGTGTGTGTGTGTGCATGTACTGAAGTCACTAAACAGGAACAGTAAAAGGCACTGCGGTTTGGATACTGACTGCTACAAAACAGAAACACGACTGCTGCTTCAGCGAGCAAAACATTCCCCCTTCACCCTTTAAAGCTGTGTCGTAAACAATCAGTGGAAGTTACTGATTTCTGCCGAACCGAGACTTTCCCACGGGGAAAATAAACGCGTCCCTCGATTATCGTTGGTAGTACAGACAACAGGGTCGAAAGCTACTATAAGTTATAGTACAATCTTTGGCAGGCACAATGAGACTCCTAAATAAAAACTTTAAAAACAGCATTTGGGATTTGGAGCTAAGAATTTTGCTTTAGAAAAACACACTGTCAGCGGATAACTTCAAGTTAAATCCACAAACTAACCTGAACTTTCAGTAAACTCTCAGATCCAACCTGAAGGTTTCAGTTTTTGTTGATATCTCAATATTTGACAGATACAGTAAGTCTTAAAATGAACAATTTTTCTAAGGATTGAAATTCGTAGGTAAGAGCAACAGAAAAACAACAGAATCTAACAGCTGTGATACATTTTTACATTACACAGTACCACCTAAATATGGATGTTTTAAAGCTTCAATCTTAAAATGACTCAGGATGTAAAGTTACATCATATAATTTTCTTCCCAGAAGTATTTTGCACTTAAGCTTTCTTTTCAAACTGAGGACATGTTTTAACATTTACCAGCTCGTAAACAAAGAAATCTCTGCTGCAATTAAAGAAGGGAGCAGAATTACATCCAGCAGAGATTCAGCGATCAGGAGGAGATTATAAGGCACAAAAAACAGAAATTACTTTTAATGCATGAACCGTTATTTTGTCCAGTTTGTCTTCTTAGAGTTTGCTGTCATAGTTTCCATTTGGAGCTGAAAGGCTTTGGAGATAGCGGACGGCATCAGCGATAGTAAAAAATATTTGATTTTCTCCACCGTCAGGACCTTTTTCATCATAGTATCCTCCTCTCTCCAGATCATCCAGAACCGAAGCTCGACACTGAGCCAGGACGACCTTGACCCCGAGTTCTCCATAATCTTTACGGACCTCTTTCAGAGCGTTGACTCCAGCCGTATCTAAAAACAAGATGCTGCTGCAGTCGATCACCAAGCTGCGTAAGTTATGGGGTTTATTCTTCAGCATCAAAGTTACAGTCTCACCGGCCTCCAGCTGACCCTCTTTACCTGCAGCCTCCTTCTCAGATTTCATATTCGGGACTTCTTTGACTTCTCCATGCTGTTTGTTTTTCTTGTTGAACCTGATGCGCTGGGTTTTCTCCTCCACGGGATCGAGCCCCACACACCTGTAAAGAGATTTTTTAAACAAGCTCTGGTTGGCGTAATAAATCGGAGCGTTGTATCTAAAAACAGCCACTCCAGGATGTTTTCGAAGGCCGTGGTAAGACGACAGGTCCTCGTAGTGCTCTCTCGTTGCAGCACGACCGAGCTCCCGGACCTGGGCCTGCTGGGTTCGGCCCAGGACGCAGAAGGCTGACACCAGAACCCCCACGAGAAGACCCAGCTCTGTGTTGACCAGCGCTGAGGTGGCCATAGTGATTAACCAGATGGCTGCATCCACACGGTTGACACGCCACATGTGGGGAATGTCGATGAACTTTCGTAGGGCTCCACGAAGATTGACCACAATGATGACGGCTAATACACACCTGAGGCAGGAGAAAGAAAACAGGCAAAATACAAGGTAAACATCAGACAATAAAACAGAACATAATCACTGCTGTGGGAGGCGAAAGCTGCTGAACTTGACAAACAAGAGTCCTCCCTTCAGGCTCGTGGGAGGAAGTTATTACAACAGACTCCATGTTTGACTTCTGTCAACTTCAGGGTTTGAATTTCCACCAAAATCCTCTTTCCTGTCAGAGTATTCGTCAATGCTTTGACAGAAAAATGTGATGTAACGCTGCTGGAGGTGACCTTGGTTACTCTCATTAATGTTTTACCTCTGTAAGTAGAAAGGGGAACCCTGCTCTGCCGGTTTAAGTATGTACCTAGTCTATTTTTGACAGTCCCTCTGCACAGCTCCATACGGACACATGAAGTTGCATGGAGCAGAAAAGTCTGGCAGGAGGACAGACATGGAAATAGCAGAGTCACTCAGCTCAATGCTAAATGAAGTATCTTATTGTATATCACAACACCTATTTGTATATAAACTCTATAGCCTGAGGTGAAAACACAAATCTGAGGGATGAATTACAAAATCAAACACATTCAGCTCAAGGCAACAAATAGTTTCATTAATACAACGCTGAAGTAACTAAATATGACCAAAAAACCTGCTTTTTTTATCACTTATTATGATTCAAAAACAAATACTTTAAGTTGAATGAATAAATGTGAAACTATGCTTTGCAGAAATCTATGTCTTGTATTGAATATTGCTTTAGCTCATTTGAAGTCGTGAAGTTGCACTTCCCTCTCACTTGTATGGTGATGTTTACATATGCCTTACACTGATTGTACTACTCAACATTTGTTCCACTGATGTTAAACAGTACAAATGATACAACACAATTCTTTCCTCTGAGGCTTTTGGGCGAGTCAACTGGCCCAACAAGTTCCCCCGTCAGTTACACCGTAATGTGCAGTTAGTGCACACATGACTTATCATTATTTACAGCACAGTTAAACTTTCTTATTTATTCTGCTCCAGCCAGTAAACGTGGATGATAATGTCTTTGATTTGATCATTTTGGCCAAAAAAGTGAAATTACTAAATAAGCTGATTTAATTTGAGTTTATCAGGTATCCTTGTTGTTGTTTTTTTTTAACCATCCAGACATCAGAACCGACTCCCACTGATAGAAGTGGATCAAAATAAGGAATGACAGTGGCAGACACTTGATTCAAGACTTTGTTGTACTCACTTTTGAAGGGAATAGAAGAGCGGTGCAATAACAAGAAGCACCAGCAGCAGGACCAGAGCAGTGACCAGCCCAGAAACCTGAGTCTGGCACCCTGTTGACTCCTTCACCAGGGTCTTTGTCAGGGCGGCGCTGGTGGTGAAGCAGCGGAAGAACGATGGCAGGATGTTGCAGAAGCCAATGGCGTACATCTCCTGGTTGGCGTCCACTGTGTAGCCGTGCTTCTTGGCGAACATCTCGGACAAAGAGACAGTGATGGCGAATCCCACGATGGCGATGGAGAAGGCGTCCACTGCCACGTTAGGGATCAGAGACCACATGGGCATTTTGGGAGGGAGGAAGCCAGTGGGGATGTCACCAGCTACGCTTGAACCATAATCAGCGTTGAAGTGGCCAAAATGAGACGCCAGCGTCGCAATTATCACCACAAAAAGCTCGAAAGGGATTGGAGCCTGGGTAAGGACAATAAAAAGATGTATTTCTACGATTATTTTAAAATCAAAAGGAAATAACTGAATTAAACACATTCAGAGTTAGTCTTTTTACCTTTAGCTTGGCTTTGAAGCGATCATTTAACTCCTTGGTAGGTATTAATATCAGCAAACACACCAAACTTGTCACAAGGTCACAAATGTTGGTGTTTCCCAGGTTGATGAGGATGCTGTACCAGGTCTTGAACAGAGTGAACCAGCCCTGAGGTCTGGGGATTTTTAGACCCAGGAGGTATTTGATTTGGGAGGTGAGGATCGTCAGGGAGGCTCCTGTAGCGAAGCCGCTCAGGAGAGAGTCGGAGAGATAGACTGAGACAAAGCCTATCTGGAAGATTCCCATGATTACCTGAGGGAAAGAGATGAGAATCTGCACGTTAAACAGCAGGACACTTGACACCTAATGGACAAGGTATTCAATGTTTGACAATACACAAATGATAGGTGAAACAGTTTTCTTCAATTTTAATAAAATCATCATTTCTAACTAGTTTGCTTGCAGCCATTCGGACTTGATGGATAAGTAGATTCCCCATCCAGCAGCTGAGGTTGTTGTTAAAGAGTTTGAAAAGATTTGGGGATTTTTTTCTTTGATTAACTGAAAATAGGTTTCATTGTTCTCTTCAAGGTCTCCAAGATCCAATGTCAAAAAAAGAAAATTAAAACCTGCTGATCGTGCGGATTTCTTGTCCAATGCTTCCAGAAAGGGTAACAAAAAATCATGTTTTGTTGCATCTGTGTGCTGTGGAGATATTCTCCCAAACTTTACATTCAAAATCCCCAAATTACATAGAAGGGAAAAAAATAAAAACCTCACAAATTATGGCAACATCTGTCCAAATCATAGTTCAGGCCATATCGCCCAGCCCTACCCTCAAGCTTCAAAAATGACAGCCCTGCTCACTCACCTGGTAAACTCCAGCAGTAAAGGTGACTGTAGCTCCCACTGTGATCGCATAGCAGCTTCTATCACACTCCACCTCGACGCTGTCATTCCCCTGGCTGGCCAACCAAATCCCGCTGTTGTTGCCACTGAAAGTGCTGCTTTCAGTCAAGTACCCTGCCAAAGCTAACTCCCTGTCTACCACCTGACCTACGAGCAGGCAGAGCACTCCAAAAATCCCCACTGAGATGTGTTTGGAAGTGCCCAAGAGGGTGTAGATGATGGAGGAGAAGAATGATGTGTAGAGACCATAAATGGGGTCCTGACTGGCCAGTAAGGAGTAGGCTATGGACTGAGGGACCAATAGGATCCCAACAATCAGTCCAGACATTAGGTCACCCAGCAGCCACTCCCTGAGCTGGTATTGAGGAAGCCACTTCAGAATCGGGGCAAAACCAAGTACTTTGGATCTGACTCTCTCCGGGGTACAAGAGCAGCATTTTTTCAGCCGGTGTGCGACGGACAATCTCCAGTTTCTGCTCCCTTCCTTCTCCACTCTCTCCAGAATGAGAGGCTGCGTCTGATCGCCCTCGACTCCATCTTCTGCTGTCGTGTAGGAGTCATTGCCGAGAGTCATGGTCGAGCTCTTATCTGGGGAGATTTCAAAGAGAAAGAAGTCAGAGAGGCAAAATAAAATGAGCTAACTCAGCTGCTGAGTTAGACTTAAGCTTTTTACTCTGACCACAATAACAGCCAAATGACCCTTAACAGCAGTGAGGAGTGAAGTGGAGAGGGGGGATATCTAATATCAGGGCAGAGGGTGTGAACCAGCATTTGTCTAAAGGCCAAAAAGTATGTCATTCTATTGAAGTTACATCACAGTCCAAATAAAACACTTCCGCTTATTCATAAAATTGAACTTACTGACCCTTAGATAAAAAGTACAGCCTTTATGTTGCTCCTTATCTATAGAGGAATAACTCTGACTCCTGTGTCTCTCTTTTTTCTAGCTTGTAATATTTTTGTTTCTCATTGAAGTCAGGACATGGAGAGATTTTTCAGTTTTTTCATTTGACAAAGCTCAAAATAAGATTTAAAAAAACAAAACAACCTAAAAACCTGGTTTCTTGCTTGAACATTATTAAACTGGCTAAACTTTTAAGTCTTGAAGTTTCAACTCTAAAGTCAACACCTTATTCACAGTTTGGGATTCTGCTGTTGTAGGTGAGATCTTAATCTAGAGGCACGAATCCTAGATTTGTCAGATCTGGACTAGATTATTTATATGGGTCTAGACTAGAGGCTCATTAAAACTCAGTCTTGTCTGTCTGAACCACAGAAGACCCAGTCCTGATCCAAATTCTCAATACTTAAGCATCTCAGAGCTGGTTTTAAATGGTTCTTAAGAGACTGCTGTCTCTCTTAAACTCTGTAAAACTTTTATTCTGCTTCTGAAAATGCGTAAAAGAGCGATTTTAGCCCTTTTTTGGTCTATGAACCACAGGATAGGATGGAAACAGGTCTCTTTAGATATGACTTTAACTATTCAAGAGATCCTCCAAAGTCTGTCAAACTTCGCTTCAGGATTGTGAAAACTCTTTTCCTTCTGTTAAGATGTTATAACTGATGATTTAATCGCTTTTTTCACCCTAGATCACATTAGACCGGAACCTGATCCGGAACCACAGTCTGAAGTCTTTTCAGATACTGGAGAGTTAACTTGATTTGTCTCTGCAGAGTCATGTGTGCTGGTGTTAATGAGATTATTGGGGCTGCCCACGGTCTGTTCAGATGTAGACAGTAAATAATAGGAAATGGACTGACTTTAACTGTGAAAATATCCATTTGTATGCTGTCACTGTGGTAAACTGTGAGGCATGTGACAAAACTCAATGGTAGCAACTATTTCAGATAATTTCGTCTTATTTTAACGATCGAAAAAGTCGCAAAAAGTCGCGTCTAAGTAACAAAATCCATCTTCATCTCCCCTCCATCTACCTGACCTCCCTCTGCCAACGCAGCATTAGTGAACTCATGAATGGATACCATTGTAAACAAACTGTCAACGTGTACACCTTCACCAACTTCAGCCAAAAAAGGAAGTCAATTAAAAAGACACTCCATCTTTTTCACGAAAGACAAAACATGACTTTAAATCTGTGAGAAACTGACCTGAGCTCGAACCGTGGGCCGTGGTTTACTGAGTTAACGGTCAGTTGTGTCCAGAAGCTCGAGTCTCATTCCGCCTCAAATTCATCTTACCCTGCTCCCTGTTGCTTCGTGCGTGATGACGACTACCGGAACGCGTGGTTTGCGTCACATGACTCACTGAGACAAAGATCGATAAATGAGACAGATGGTTTACTCTGAAACTGAGTGGTGCGACCACAGGGGAGACAGCTTGTTATTGCTGCTTTACAGTCAGGGTAAGGTGGCAAAGTAATCAGGTTATTAATAACGACAAAGATAGTACTCAAATACAGTTATCTATTAAAACGTCACGCATACTCTTAATATGATTTACTTAAATGCAAAAAGGCTAAAGGCTTTAAAAAGGCTATTACTCTATTATATTTCATATAAAATATATTTAAAATGTAGTTTTTTGTAAATAGTTTCTTTCTAGTTTTGAGTGCTTAATTTGTAAATAGTTTATCTTTAGTTACACAGTTCCGAATGTTTAATGTGTAAATAGGGTACCTTTAGTTTCCTTTTTCTAAATTTTTTTTATATGTAAATAGTTTGTTAGTTTTCTGTTATGCACAATAAATGTTCAGATATGAGGCAAATCGCGTCGTCATTTCCGGCAGTATGCGATTTGGGAAAGCACTGCACCCTGCGTGATTGAGTACATAGTATGCTTAGTATACTCAATTTTTAGTATGGAAGGATGCTATTTGGGACACACTACTTGTCTAAAATTTCTAGATTTTATCCATTTTGAGAGAATATTCAGGGAATAATGGGAAAAATGTCAATGTGGTGTAACCATTAAAAACTCAGTAACTGGTTTGTGTCAATTGGTGTAACCAGTATTTTTAATTAAAAAACATAATATTTGAGAAAATGCATGAGGAATGGAATGTACTCCTCTACTGCAATGCACTAACATATATCTTAACAGTTTCTACATAATTTTTCAAATGTTATTTCGAAAATGCCAGCTGTTTTCAGCATGTCTCCTGCTCTATGTTGCAAAAATTCATCCAATTTTTTTGTAAAAAAATAAAAATAAAAATCTTAACAAAATGTATTTTCAACTGATATGATTAAGTAACCTTATAAGTACACCTGCATACACTATATGTGGAAATGAGTATTAAATATTTCTCCTTTTGTTGTGGTCACACCACTTCACATTTTTAAGGGAAATACATCATTCATTTTGTAAAAAAAAAAAAAAAGTTTTAAATGCTATTTGAAATTAGATGAAACCAACAGAGATACAAAAAACACATCTTTGCAAACCTAATGCAAACTTTTAAAACAATTTATTGAAACATTTTTGAATTACTTTTAAATGAAAATAGATTAATTTATAACCAAACCCAGGAAGCTCACGCAGTATCCAGGAATAGTCAGTGCTCTTCTTGCTATTAGACAGTCTTTGTCGAACCCTCTCATTGGCTGACATTTACAAGTGAAAGCAGCTGTACAGTGTGGAGAGGGTTTGTTTTGTCTCACCAGTGTTTTTACTTCTGTTCATGCTGATTGTTATTCTCTGTGTCAGATTCCTGAGAGAGGGTGTGAGGGTGACTGATGTTTGTAGTTCAACACCCGAGGAGGGCTGCAAATGAAACAAGAAGAGCCAAAGAAGAAACTGTGTCACACTGTTTTATTATCCTAATGATGAGAAACAACACAAGGGCTGTAAAAGCCCCGCAGGACAAGTCAATAACAAGAAAAATGTCTCTTTTATTTGTTATCTCTGTTTATAAATTTACTACTCACTCCATGGCTGTAAAAATTCTAAAGGTTTTGGATTTTTTTTTAAAATCCATTATAGTTGATATTCTTTATATTTTTGAATCTTCGGCCACAGGCAGTATTTGTGATTTAAGCAATTTGTTGAAAAGTGCATGCTCATTGCATAATGATGGTAATTTTTTAAAAATAAGATAGCATATCATATTAACATCTCCCTCCTCATCTGTTTGGTATAAACTCTTGATTTAAGACCTGGTTCCACATCATAACAAGAACTAATCTTAGTTCATTGTGTGCAGTGCACTGTCCCATCTGGAAATGGAATTCACTGTCAGTTTTTGCAGCTATTTTTGATTTACTCCTAATCTTAGTCTTGGACTTAAGTGCCTTCTAGATTTCGACATATTGTAGTCATTTTTTATGTCTAGATGTGGTCAATAAAAAGTCAAAACATTTAACTCTTTAGTATTTGAGCATTTTCTGTCTTCAGACTAATTAGATTACTCAAAAATTGGTGTCAAGGTTGCACTAGTGTTTGAACCGTTCTAACCCAAGTGATGTTTGGATTTATTACCTCAGTTGGATGAAGCTGTGCTGTCATTATTGATCTGCTGATGTGATATCGAAGTATCATCTGTACTCTAAGTCATATATGTTTTCTGTGGCCTTTTCCTTTGACTTCCTCTTTTTGTGGGGTAGGGGGTCTGGGTTAAGTCAGCCCCTTAAAGCTGAATCTTCATCTTCATCTTCAGTAATTCATCATTCAGTTCTCAACTCACGACCCTGAACATTTATATAACCATTCAGCATGTGTTTATTTCTCCTATTGTGCTGTGAAGAGAGAAACCCTGGGCTGTCTTATTACACTTTAGTAGGTATCATAATCCCAGTGTTGTAATTGGATGCAGGCTTATGTTCACACATGACCATTTAAAACCATCTCTGTAATCTCTTTTCTTCTCTCAGACACCTGCAGAGGTGAGGGATTATACGCCTCAGTGGAGACAAAACAAGGACTTCAACAGGTAGGACTGAAAAAAACTAATAGATCTGTGAGACACAGGTGTTTGTCATCATTATTATTTATTCTATCAGTGTGTTTTTGTTTACTTTTACTGTTATAGACAAAAATGTCCATGAAGTGTATAACGAATCAGTATTGGAAGGTCTTAGACATGTTTTGTCAAATGTCTTGGGAAGTACTTGCAATAAAGAGTTAGACCTCGACTTTCCTCGACCAAACCAACTCTCTCTCTGACTTGGAAAGCCATCCCTCCAGCTGGTCTATTCATACATCTAAAAACTTCTCTGTCATCAGCAGCCATGGTGGATGCAGCAGCTGCAGAGCAGTTCCTGGATGCAAACCCACAGTTTGCAAAGCAGTACTACGACATCAACTTCAGACCTAAAGTCATCTCAGACCTGCTGGACAACAACAGGAAAGCGGCGGTGGACTTGAGCCAATACCACGACCTGACCATGGTGGAGGAGAGTGAGGTCCTCTTTGACCTGGTGCGGGACATCCAGGACAACCTGCAGATGGAGAAGTCCATCTTCAACCTCATGAGACATCTGAGCTTCATCATGAGAGCCGACCGCATGAGCCTCTTCATGTACCGCCAGAGGAACGGAGTGGCGGAGCTCGCAACCAGGTCACAGGGGGGTTTGAGGGAAACATCACATTACTTTTTCACATTATTTTTTATTTTGAAAATTGAATTGTAACAGTTTGGAAGAGAAAACAGACATTTTGGACGATGATCACTGTCAGCTGAATCTCCAGGGAACCGTATTGGATGGAAACAGATTTTCTTTCCCTCTGGCACGCTGCTTCACATTCATACAACTCCAGACACTTACATTTGGCAGATTATATAAAGCTTACATGAAATTCAAGTGGAGCATTCCTCCTGATTCTGGCACACTTGATGTAAACAGACCTTTCCAAACCCAAATAAGAGCAGAACTCTAGTGAGGAGGAGGATGCAGATCCCCTGAACTTTTGAGACAGAGTTCCTGCCAAGTCATGACCTCTGAAAAAAAGATTTAAAAAGTTAAAAAAAACTCCTTCAGTAGAACAACAGGATAATCCAAGTGTTTTTTCTTCACTTCCAGGTTATTTAATGTCCACAAAGACGCAGCCTTCGATGACTGCCTGGTGCCTCCTGACAGTGAGATCGTTTACCCGTTGGATATCGGAATTGTGGGTCATGTTGCGACCACCAAGAAGATGGTCAACATTCCTGCAGCGTCTGAGGTAGATGACTAATAACACGACAGTCGTTTGTGTTTGTTTTCAGTTTGACTGTGGTTCTCTGGAAATCTGGTGCTGACAGAGACATCAGAGCAAAATATCTGTTTATGATTCTTGATATTCACAGGTTTGAGATGTTAAACTGCAGAACAAGGCCAAAGTGTTTTCTGTGTAAACGAGTCTCCCACTTGAACTTACCAATGCACAAAATCTAAAAGTTTAAAGATGTAATAGAAAAGCAAGGACAAAGAAAAACAGAACAAGAGTCTTTTTACTTCAGGGGGAACATCTCCTCTCCTACATTTCCCAGACTTTTTAATAAATATTTGAAAAGGGAACTGTACAATGATCATCATCAAGAGATGTCAGTGCACTGATGTTTTTCATTTAAAGACCTTCTCTAAGATGTTTGAGATCCCAGGAGAGTAAAGGTAGTTTACATTTATAAAAGTCAAAACAGTTTTTTAAGTAAAAATAGCAGCAAATTTATGAGCTAGTGAAATCCAAACCACATACTGACAAAACCTGTTAAGGGTACATCAGCATGTTATTTTTTACTATTATTACTGTAGACATGATTATATATTTGTTAGGGGTGGAAATTAAGTAAGTATACTTACTCATAGTGGGTTTTTTTGTATTTACTTTGGTATTTTTCTGTTAGTGTGTTGTACTTTAGTTGCTACACTCCCATTTCATCAGTTACCAAGTAAAAAAAAAAACACTAACACATGGAAGCTTTCTATTGGCTGTATGACAGCCTGCTGACTGGATGAAATCTACTCTGCAAAACACCTCAGACTTAATAAGTGAAATGAACCTGTTTCTGTTTATTTGTGTAAACGTTGACCACGCAGGTTCAAATATGAATATTGTTTCAAGACAGTTTTCATTCTAAGTTCCCTGAAGTGACATGGATGGTATCCTGTTATAAGAAACTTATCAAGAAAGCTTGGCTTGCTTAACTTACAGACATTTTACTCATTACAATAAAAAAGTCTATTATCTTATTTGGCTTAGCAAGGCTTTCTGCACAGTTAGTCATGACTTGAGTGTGCAAGAATCGTCTACAAGAAGTAATACTGAGAGAAACAGCTGCAAAATATTGATTAAAAAAAAATCTATATGTATTAATGCTTTTGGTGATATTTCAGCAACAATACTGTGGAGATATGCTTTTACATTATTTGGGCGGCTTATTTTACTCCCTCCACTTAGTTTAAGTGTGGACTTTGAACCTATGTCACATCACTAATCAGGTATATTTGCCATGGAAAATGTAAAAATAGATGATGATTATTATTATTATTATTATTATTATTACTATTTCAGTGAGGACTTTTTAGTTTGTGGTTATTTTTGACGTCCCCGAATCTGACTTACTGTCCTTCACATTTATTTTAATTTTTTTGTGACAACACTGAGTTTATAGCAATTACTTTGTGTTGTGATTGTCCACCTGTTGATTTCCATTGAAACAGTCTAAACTTTGTGGTCCTATTATCCATTTGAAGTAGATCCACAGCTTTAAATTTGAAATGATGAGCAGAAAATTATAAAGTATTGATCTCTCTCATGAAAGAAGGAGAAAAACCTCTGACTTCTCTGATCTTAATTTTCCTGAGGAATCTATATCAAACTTGTCTACTGCTGCTCTGTCAGTATGTGACCACCAGATGGCGCCCTGTTGCCATAAAATCCCTCCCTCTGTCTTCCTCCCTTCAACGCGCGCTCAATCTCATTACAGCCGGTACCTTTGACATTTGAAAATGGCTCGCCAGCTTATTCCCGTGAACATTTTAACTTTGTCATGCTCCTGCAGGTCCACCAACTTCTCCTCCACCCCCTCCACCCTTCCACCCGGGCTGTTCCTGCACCGGCTGCTGTTGTGACATTTACACTTAATAAGGCAGCAGCCCACTCCGCATAACTGATGGATTTACAAGGCCTCCGCTGTATCAGTTCAATCACTTCCTTTCATGGGAGATTAGAAAGCTCAGCTGCTGATGTACCAACAAAACCGAGCCGGGTCGATTGTTCCCATTTGGTGGTTTTATCTGCTGGTTCTGCTGCTGCCAGGCCCGGCCGGGTGTGCCTTCGCAGTGAGAACAAACATCATCCTCACGCTGTTTTAAAACCTCTGTCCGTCACGCCGCAGCCTCGCACAAACACATGAAAGCTTGATGGGAAATGTGGCGACTGGAAAGATATCAAAGCCTCCAAGCCTCCCCAGTCGCAGCGAAGCAAGAGCTAATGTTTCCATATAATTGCATGGCTTTATGATGCTAATGCACCGAGGACGGCCTTTCACAGAGTGATGCAGAGACTTGGAATCACTGCCTCCCTCTGCGAACTGCTTCCATCTCAGTCCTATCCGGAGCACAGCCGCTCAATCAGCCAGGATCCCCGTCGCTGGATAGGGATTGTGTTTCTCTGGGATTACGCACTGAGGCCTCATTTCTCCCGCTGCCTCCTTCAAACTGAGCTGAATCATTTCAACATTTACCAACCCATAACGCTGTTCGTAGAGCCCGTTGTTTGAGGTGTGACACAGGAGGGCTGTGCGTGCGAGGAAGGTGGAGAGCGTCAGCGACGAGGGGGGGGAGGTTTGCAGATGACGCTAGTTAATCTGTCCTGAATTAGAGCGATCCCAGATTACTCCCAGAGGTCACACAGGCCCTGAGCCATTTTCACAGACTCAGCACTACGACACACACCTTTAATCTGCTCCGTTACCCTCTATTGTCGCAACTGGAGCAGAAACTCCCAGAAATCTACTTAATGTCTCACAAACCGAGAAGCTGAATTAGCCAGAGAGGAAATTTTTGTTTTTGAATAACTATCTACAAATAAAAATCTGTGCACTTATGAGCTATTTTTACTTATTTTACCGATTAAAGTGAATCTCTGTTATATTCCTACATGGTTATTTCACTGTTTACATGAATAGTAAAGGTACTAAAGCGTTTAATCTTCATTTTTAAATATTCATATTCAAACACATCTCGTGCTTGGATAATACTCCTAAAGTGTAGAGCTGCTGGGTAAAGGTCAACACCAAGCTTCAGCTGAGGATAACAAGCAGGATAAAAACTTCTCCAGGCTCTAGGGGGTCAAAGGTCAGCCAATAACAAGCTGTCAAACTGCCCAGATCTTTGCGGCGGGGTTATTTGTAAGCTGTATTAGGCCGTGGTTGAATCAGCTACTGTACTGTGCAGATCCAGGATCAGCCCGGTCTCCCTCTGAGTGCTTTTCTTTTTCATTTCCTGCTTCTTCTGCGAGTTGAGAGACGAGTTGAGACTTTAAAACACAAAGGAGGATTAACTAACTCAGCGCGTAGCTTGTGGTGATGATTGCCGCACAAATCTCATTACTGTTGCTGAAACTGACGCGTGAATCAAAAATAAAGATGGAGACTGACACAGGGCAGCGCTGTACTTAGACTTGCAGTTTATTGACTCATTTTAAGATATGAGAGGGGCTCGCTCACTGCTCAGATTTCTTCTCTTTGCATGTGGCTGCAGCAGTTTCAAGGCTTCCATGAAACTTTAATGATGCACATGTTTAACTTTGAGGAGTTTGCGCCTCTGGGGGGTGTGAGGTTGGTAAAAGAGAAGATGAAGTAGTAGAGCAGTAGTGATTTTAGAGCATATGTGTGTGTCCCGGCGCGTTAGCTCATTGCCATTAAGAAAAACATTGACTTTCCACGCTGTCATTTACCTAAAGGTGGGGTAGTCAGGATCTGAGGAAGTTCCAGTTTTTAGGAGAAATCTTGAATGTAAACTCTACCCCTCCAAACCAGTTTTCCCCTCAGCTCCTCCTCTCCCCTCCCTCTCTGCTCCAGCAAGCCCCGCCCACAAACAGACGCTCCTGCTCGCTCGTATCGTTCCAATTAAATTCCGATATAATGCAGATAAATACTTCAGATAATTACAAATGGGGCCCAGTCAAGGTGAAAGTCAAAAGCATTGGTGCTACTGTAGATGCCAACAGACTACCAGCAAACACAATGTTTGCAGGACTTCTACAACTAGGATAAAGTGACATAGTCCAGGACCCGAGGGAGGACAGTTTAGCGATGGCGCTACAACACGCTACAGCAGGTCCGTTTGACAAGAAACACTTCTGTTACAGACACTTGTCTTACTTTGTTAAAGCGGTTATACCTGTCCAGCAGAAAGGTTACAGGGTCACCAAGATCCCCAAGCGTCCCCCATCGTTTATGTTGACCCGGCTTTTTAGCTCTTGTCCGGTCTACCTCCGTTTTAAGCGCCCGTTATTCCTCCAGAGTCTCCGGTATTTACTTTGTTTTCTTGCTTGTGTCGGCAGTTGTGGCTAAAGGAGGATTTGGACAATCTTCCATACTTTCTGGTTGGTTTCTACTGTTCGATATCATAGCACGCTAACTTTGTTTGGGCTCCTGAACGACACGGGGGAGCAGCGTCTGCCTCACAACCAATCAGGTTAGAGGAGGTGGAGAACGGCTTTGTTTACAGTCAGAAAGAGCGGAGCGCTCTGAAGTTTTAAAATGTTGACTACACAGACATAACAAAACACATCGATACTGTTATATTACCAAATGTCATCAATAACTCTTAACTATTGACTGACATTAAAGGTTTTTTGTATATACACCACCAAAAAAAGATGCTTCTTCAACGGATTCCTGCCTACCCAACCCTTTAACGTTAAAAAAAGCACATGTGATGGTAGGATCTGATTATAGCATAAAAAGAAATAATAAGCTTGAGCATAGAAGAAGAAAACTGAGTCTTTTTGAGAGATTAAAGGGTTAATGCAACTAAATAAGAAGTTGTTTAGTGAGTCAGACCAAGGTACAAAAGCAAGGCGCTGACATGGACCAACAACTTTGAGTTCAAAAATCTGACCTCAGTTTTTATCCAAGAACCCGTGTCTCATATTTTTCTCCTCCTCTGTGAGTAAGTAAGAACTTCACGCTTGTGTGGACTCTACTGGGCTTCAGCCGTGTTCTCCAGTGTGATCCTGGGAGATAACTGGTTTGGAAATGGACACTTTTCATCTTTCAGTCCGGTCCTGTTTGGCCCACAGGTGCGCCGCAGATTGGTAGTCAGCTCAAAGTGAGAAACTTTAGTGAGCCATGTGGGGAGGCTTCGTCTACATTTTTGACTGGTACTTTGGGTTAATGGCTTTTTATAGTTGTCTTAAGCAGTATGGTAGACCACCGTCTTGGTGATTTTGCCTCACTTTAACATTTTTTTCTCTTACAGCAAATAAAGCTTTAACGTAGATCATTTTGGTGCAGAGGGCTGCAAAGGTGTCTCATTCTGGTGTTATTTTGCAGCCTGTAAAATGCTAAAGATAATACTCCTACCTTCATGAGTCCTTACCTGACACTAACCAAAAAGTAAGATCTGAACAAAGAGTCAAATCTGGCCGTACTCAAACAAGGACTCTGCCACCAATTTAGTTCCCTGAGGGTGGCTCTCTGCAGTTTTCTGTTCCCTTTTTTGTGGTTAATGAGCTGCTCTTCTTCTGTTTCACCCCTGGAGGAACACAATTGATGACCCCTGCTGCACGAGAGGAGCAGTAGGTGGAGTGCAGCAGAGAGGGCCTTAAGTTTGGGGATAATGGAAGGCCTTTGCTAGCAGCGTTTGCAGACAGAAGTAAAGAGGGGTGTTCGTCAAAGCCTAGTCTGGAAGTTTGGAGGAGTGCGGGGCAAAGAGCGGGCAATTAGATACAATCAAATCCTTTTTCTCTGTCCTTAGAGCCCTCATTTCAGTGACTTTGTGGACCAGCTGACTGAGTATCAGACCAAGAACGTCCTGGCAGTCCCCATCATGAACGGGAAAGACATGGTGGCTGTTATGATGGCTGTCAACAAGGTGGATGGACCGCACTTCACCGCCAAGGATGAGGAGGTAACAACTTCTGCAACCAATCCCGGAAAGAAACTCTGACAACAGTTCAATTTAGGGATTCAGTCACTTGGATAAAAAAGTTTCAGTTGGAGGAATCAACTCTCTAAACTTTCACAAAGTTCAGTGAAAAAATATCAGAGTTATGGTGATTTAAAGGTGGAGTGTGGAGCAGAAACGGGAATGTTAAGTGATATCTCGCAGTCAGATTCGGGTCTTATGCTCACCCCTCCTGTCAGTGAAGTGCTGTTGAACTTTCTGTGATGCATAATAAGTCTGATCCTCCATTTCAGGTTTGTACCATCATATACACCTGCCAACACCGATTATTTTGGTTTCTGCCTCAGTCTTTGTTGTGCTCTGACCTCCAATAGTTACCGCTATTCAGCATTTATATTGTAACACAAATCTAAAATCCAGGTACATCTAAAAGTTCTGAAAGGAGAACATTTTTCAGCCTGTCAGAAACTGTTTAAAGAGAGAAAGGTTTGGCCACCACAATGAGGGAGTCACAATTGAAAGGATATAGTGAATAAATAAATACGGCCAAAACAGTCAAAATATGAAGTGAAATGTTTTTGCACAGCCAGTCAGAAGTGAAATGTTTGAAATACTTCCTCAATCATGCCCTGACATGACCAGTTAACAGTTTTGGACCTCTATCAAAGTGGCCTGAACACCTGCAGCCTCAATACTGCAGAGAAATGATACGTTTCTGTGTTGAGAAAGATGAGGATGTTTCACTTTTAGTTTAACGTAAAAAAAAAAACAGGATTTCTCTCTGCACTTTTGGCTCAAATATGATATTTGCTAATATGTCATATAAAACCAAATATATTTGTGGATATTGGTGTGCCTTTGCGAAAGAAGAAACCTCAAACCTCAAACCCTGTGCTGTTTTCTTCCAGGCCCTGAACAAGTATTTGAACTTTGCCAACCTGCTCCTGAGGGTTTTCCACCTGAGTTACCTGCACAACTGTGAGACCAGGAGGGGACAGGTGAGGCGGCCGTAGAGCAAGCTAAACTTTGTCAAGTCTTTCCTTTTTAATATCCTAATCTGCCTTTTTGAGAATCAGTTGGAATTAATTTGTCAGGCGAGCTGAACGCGTCCCCCGTCTGACCTTTTTTAATCTGAGATCTGATGCTTTTGAAGAGTCGGTTTGAGGAGCAAAGAGAGGTTCACGGATCCACGTTTTCACTCTTAATGAGTCAGTGTTTGAGTTAGAGAGAGAGAGGCATGCAACCAACTAATAAGATGTCTCTAAAAACTCAAACTAGGACTACAGCTGATCTATCTGTCCTGTAAATGAACTTTGAAGCCTTCTTTTTTTATCTTCTCCTTCTTTTTTCCAGGTTCTTCTTTGGTCGGCCAGCAAAGTGTTTGAGGAGCTGACAGACATCGAGAGGCAGTTCCACAAAGCCCTGTACACAGTCAGAGCTTTCCTCAACTGTGACCGTTACTCTGTGGGTCTGCTGGACATGACCAAGACCAAGGTGGGTTACCATAGATACACAGCCAGAGTCGAGGGTAGGCTGACACACAAACAAAACAATTAATAAAGAGATCAGCGAGCAGAACCCTCATCCGCGGTCTGGAGATCTCTATCTGTACTGTCTTAGATGTTTCAAGTGTACCCTGCTGGGTCCAAGAAAGACCCGAGTGGAGGAGGGAAACTGACTGAGATTAATAGTGAAGCCTCTTTATGACCAACAAAAGCAAACAAGACCATCAGTGACAAGATTGATTATTTCTATACTGTCATTTTTAATGACTGCCACAGGGCGTGAGAGGAGATGATTTACAGCAGCAGGAGGAGGAGGAAACAGCCTTTCTCTGCGTTTCCAAAAGACGGTGTTTGAAATGTGCGATACATTTCACTGCTTCAAGAAAATCAAGATGTGATTCATCAACAAACAGCGCCGCAAGATGAACAGAGAGATAAATATTCAAGTAAATCTGGTGCAGCTGATTTTGAACTGAAAAAGACAGAATTTCTAACACTGCTTTTATTTTATTTCCCTCTGGATTCAACTCTTCTCTGTAGACAATAAGACACACTTTTACATCAACAAAAAACTGTGATAGTAACACAAAACAACACAAACGTCAAATAGGAGGGTTAGTAGACTCGCTGGAGCATCATCCTTAGTTTGTGTTTAGTCTTGAAATGACGTGAGCCGGCGTTATGTGACCACCGGAAAGAAATATGATTGACTTGTTTTAAAATCGATTCCTATGACTGTGTTTTACATCTGAATTCAGCCAATCAAATTTGAGCAACCTGGAACATACTGCCTGAATTTTGTCACCTGTATTTTGGCATCTGACGTTTGGTTTTTATTCTGAATTTGTGAACACTTGAAAATGAGGGTGTGAATTATTTATTGAGAACTTGAAGAGTTTAATTCATTGGCAAAAATTCAGATGGATGGTTTAAAGGAATGAATACTGAGTGTTTTTCATTTCAAAATCAGATGATAGAGGAAACAAAATCAACACAAACTACGAGTTCCTCTCAGTGACATGGCGTCTTGGGAAAAACAGTGACCACTGTACATTCAAATAAACATTTATATAATCGTAAGAACAGGCACGTCTGTTTTTGCACCGCTCTCATCCCATCAGAGTTTTGATGAGATCTGTTTGTGTTGTTTCCTCCTCGTCTACTTTTAGAAGAAGTTATTTTCAGTCACTCCTCAGAGGTTTCTCCGCCTGAATTTTCCTACTGCAGTCTAATTTTCCATGGTTGCAGCCCTGAGTGTCAGCGAAAGAAGTAACGCTCGAACCGTCTTTTATCATTGCTATACAATCCTCGCGTATTTGTCATAACTAACGCGCCGTCATAAACTCTACTTATTGGCTTTGGCTGTTACCTAATTAGAGGCAGCTGCAAGTTGATTCCTAACACCTGCTATCTGAGAACAAACACATGTTGTCTGCCTGCACAGATGGCTGTCTGGTAACAACACTGGATTTCATGAATAAAGCACTAAAGAAGAAACAAAAACTAGTAACTCTGCTTTTTTGAAAACTGTGCACTTTGTGGAGAGAGAGCAACAAATATTACAGAGTCATAAAAGGCTGCTGGCATTAGCATTTCCAGGCTGAGCAGTGCTGCCGGCTTTATCTACAATAAACAGCTATTTCCTCCAAATAATGAAACAACAGCAGAGAAGCAGCAGCAGCATCGAAATCCTTAATTTTGTTTCTCTGTCTTTGTGTTTGAAGGAGTTTTTTGACCTGTGGCCTGTTCTGATGGGAGAAGTTCCTCCGTATGACGGACCCAAAACTCCTGATGGCAGAGTGAGGAAATATTCATCACTCTCACTCCAGTTTTTTCTTCTGTTATAGCTCCTTCTATTAAATCCTGCACTCCATCTATTGAAGTCTGTTCAATTCCTTTGTTCCTCCAGGAAATAGTCTTCTATAAACTGATTGACTACATCCTACACGGCAAAGAGGACATCAAAGTCATACCGTAAGTCACAGCAGATATCGAGTTTGTAGACATGAAGAGAAGCAGAGCAGAGACGAGCAGATATGCAGTGCTGCTCTTCTGTCCTGGTCAGTAGGTAATTGTGATTCACATGCAGCTTTTAAGAGCCAATTTCAGGGTCAGGATTGTTATTTAGGAGGAAAAATCAAGTGAAGAATAGGGGTGTTTACTCAAAGACATACAATCTGATATCTACCAGTGCCAACACCCTTTAGTGGACAGGAGAGAGTTTGGCTGTTAAACCAAGGCCTGCAACAAGATAGACGAAGACCGTAGGCTGTAAGATATTTTTATTCATTTTTTAAATTCATTTTATTTTATGACATGACATGACATGACATGGCCAGAAGAAGCAGCTTTGTTCTCTTCAGATAGATGCAACTCTTGCTTTTGTATCTCTTCATGTTGCACCATTAAGGCTGCAAACTACATTTCATTGGAACCTGCTGCAATGACAAAGAAAATATTATTTCATTTCATTCTTTTTCTTTCCTCTCCTTCCTTTCCTTTCCTTTTTCTTATTGTGCAAAATTAGAAGGCTCTCACTAGCAGCAACTAAAAGTAAACAACCAAACCCTAACAGTAAATTATATAAAATTAAAGGTTGTACGTTGCATCTGTGGTTGTAAATACGAACATCAGTGATGACGGTTTGAAAGCATAGACTGTAAAACATGGACACAGTCTCACCCGTCGGTTTCTGAAGCAGAGTTTTTGACAGTCTGAGCTTTTCATTGCTGTTAGGGAGTGTGATGACAGTGAGCACAAGGGAGTACCTGAAGCTCACAGTTTTGCACCTTGGTAGGATGTGACCCATCTGCTAAAGTTCATCTTGGAGAGGGTGAGAGTGGGTATCCAGGATGACCTGAATTCAGTTAAGACATTTCTACAAACATGAGGTATAAAATAAATGTGAACATCACGTTTGTCTCTTGGGAGAAAAGCTGTCGGAGAAAAATCATTGTCATGTTTTTCTCCCTGACAAAATCCATCATGACATCTGCTGTTTAATTCAAAAGAAGTAAATATATTTACTTTGATTCATGGTAAATGGATAACAGTAACATGAGAGGCCAGATGCAGCATTACAGCCATTTCCCCTGTTTGTGGTTTCAGTGACATTTTGATCCTGTAGTTTTCCCGCTCTTGTAAACATGAATAACTCGTGTTCAAACAGAATAATTTAACCAGTGTTTACTGAAAGTTGTCTGTTCTATTTGCTTTCATTGTATTACACGACATTTATCCCCCCTGGCAGAGTAATTTTATCTCAACACTCAGAAGGAAAACAGTGATACGCAGTTGTTTTACCTGCTGTTGATAAAATCATAAATTGAATTTTCTGCCTGTCTCGTCTGTTCCTCCCTCAGGAATCCTCCAGCAGATCACTGGGTCCTGCGTACCGGTCTACCCACCTATGTAGCAGAGACTGGACTGGTTAGTGCCGGTTTTTCCTCTCTCTATTTCAGTTTGGTTCTCACACGACACAACCACCTGGCAGCATCCTGTGGTCATGGCAGTGTTATTACACACTGTCTAGTTTGTTTATATCAGCTCACATTTGCAGATTTGGCAGCAGGAGCTGAACAATAAGGATGGAAAGTTAGAGTTTATCCAGCAGGAGCGGAGTGAGAAGGATCCATAGCACCATTGTATTCCTTATTTTTGATCTGGATGGAGTAAACAATGCCAGTAGGAGGCCAAAGCATGACTCTTTATCATCTCCTCTCATTCTCTAACCTCCTGGGAATGAGGAGTTGGGCGTGTTAACTCCTCCATGTCCTCTTTCTTGCACCTCTCTACTGGTTCCCCTCCCTCATTTTTACTCTTTTCCCTCCTTGAAATTAGAGAGCAGGGGGAGGCAGAGTGTACATTGACAGGGGATGAGCTCTAGTCCAAGCAGGACTCTCATCTTGGCTCTGTTGTTCCTGTTTTCCTCCGTCTAACACCTCTAGTCAGTTCAGGGTCAGTGGCACATGCTGGACGACTGTCATTGTCCCGTTTTACAAGCACAGAAAAGATCATCCACCGGTCGGACAGCTAGTCCACACATGAATATTTCTGCTTCCCATCATGGCGCCGACAACACTGGATCTTTTGATAATCTGTCACAGCAGCTGGTGCATCTGGACCAAATCTTGACTTCAGGACAAAATCCCCCTCCTGGTTTCTCACTCAAACTTTTTGGGAGCAACTTTTCTGCTGTGCAGGCGTCCATGTAAACCCACTGTCCTTTAAAGTGTCTTTATTGCCAAAAACCTCCATTTTAAAGCTGTGGGTGGTCAGACGAGCAGAACGCCATTAGGCCTTATTACACAGTTGTCAGTGTGCACACGGTCGTGGAAATGAAAAGTGCTCAGCCCCACGCTGCTGTGATGTATAATTGTAATTTCTGCAGCCGTTGTAATTAATCACACTGCTTTCTCCAAACTGCTGAGCCTGCCGCTGCTCATCTATCTATCTATCCCCCCTGTTTCTTCCTGTCTGTCCTTCCACCGCAGCCCTGTCCTTTCAGCGTCTTTGGCACGTGTCATTTTTTAACTGTAACATGATCTTTCTGCTCAAACCTTGTCCTTTTTTCCTCTACTCTACATCATGTTTGAGGTGAAAGCTCAGTTTCTGCACAGAGCCACCTTTCCATAAATCCAGGAGAGAAAGACATGTCAGATTGACACTAATGGTTTTGGATGTGACACAGGAGCTTTTGAATGGATTCCTGCGGAGCAATAAAACTTCTTGTCAACTCCTGAAAATGACTGACGGACACTCAGACCTAAAAAGCTGAAGCTGAAGCTTTTCATGAGGGAACAAACATGGCGTCCTCGTGAATCAGATAAACTTCTTATTTTTGTAGCCAGCTGTTCTTTTGCAGGATGTCGTCATCCTTTGCTCTCATTTATCTTTTTGTTTTCATTTTTTTATCACAGATTTGCAACATCATGAATGCAGCTGAAGATGAGTTTTTCAACTTTCAGGTGAGATGGCTGGGTTTTTCTGGGATTAGCTCGTGAATTTTTCATGTATTTTGGGAAAGCACTGGTATGAAAGCAATAAAATTCAACAAAAACCTAAAAGAAAAATAGATTTTTTAATAACCACCAAATGCAAACCCCAAACGCCTTAAACAGAATTGTACAATGTTGAGATTCTGTACCATGTTTTGCTGCGGTAGCTCCAGCTGACCTGTCTGTGTGGCATGTTATCATCTCCAGAGGTCATCTAAAATCAGATAAAGGGTTACACAAAAAGCCAAATTTAGAGCACAACGATATACATACAGCTTTAAATATCCTGACATTAACATTACTGTAAGATCTGTCTGTATATGTTTGATTGGACCTGCAAAATGGGCAATTTTCCTTGAATTTGAGATATTTCTTCATAAATTCTCAAATTTCTTTCATCCACTCATGATGAGGCAGTCCTCAAGTGGAGAAAAATGTGGGTACATCGCTAAAAAATGAAGCTTTCTTAATTCCAAAAAAAAGGATTTCATACAGCTTTGATACAGTTACACAATCTGGAATGACTCATTTGTTATGACCTGAAATAAACACTCACATCTCAGCCTTGAATTTCACTTCCATGATGCTTCAAATCTCTTATTTTTTGTCGACGCTTTCAGAAAAATCATAATTCTACAACAATTTTGCTGTTAAAATTGTGGGAAAAGGTATTGCTAGTATTCTCCCCCTCTGAAATATGCAAATACACAATATTATAGTGAACAGATGCTGTTTAGCGCCACTGTTATAAAGCTGTTGTTAAATGAATACCTCTCTGACAGCAGCGGTAGAAAGAGGAGATTATTATCATCGTAAAGACAGAACTATTGGCCGGGCTGTTTTTATTGCTTCACATTGGACGATGAAAACCCACCTGGTAAAGTGGTGGCTTGGTGTACATTTGCATTTATTTCTTTTAATGACACTTTGGTCGAAACACCATCAACATCCATCCTCCCAATATGATTAAAACGATAATGTGCGTTTATCTAGAAAAGACTACATCCAGCAGGCCTCAGTGTTTGCTCGGTTGTTTCTGTGCGATAAGAGAGATCATTTTTCTCATTATCTCTAATCTGATTTTTTTATAAGTAATAGATGGCATTATCATTCTGCCATCAGATTACAGTAATTGCATCACATACAAGCCTTTTCTCTGGAATAATCTGAATATAATAAACCAAGAGCGCATGTTAGATTCATGTATTAAACACTCCTCATTGCTTCAGAATGAGCTCTTATGTGTCATAGAAATCCACGGTGGAACAATCAATAGGAGCGGTTCCTCCATACAGTCCTAATTAAATAAAACGGTATGTCCTTCATTCACTGATCCTCTTGGTTTAAATGAGTTTCCTGAGGGCTGTAAAGCTCCTATTATATTTGTCCTTATTAAACTGATACAGTGGCGGCCATCTTTACTGCTCGAACAGTGAGCCCGGTCTGAAAATCCACCTTTTTCTCACATAGTTCAATGTCTGTCTGAAGTTCTTTAAGATACTTTTACCACAATATTCACCAATGTTGTTAAAATCTGTTTTAAAAACCTGCTAAAGCTTACTAAATGGACTGAATTTAGATCATCTGATTAGTAGATTTTAACAAGGTTTCAATACAGAGCACAGAACCTGCAGAGGTGATAAGTTCTGAAAATTTTCAGCTCTTGGGTCTTGTTGAACCTTTTCGTATTATTGTTATAAAGGAGTATGACCCATATGTAAAAATTGAGCTTATTTAGTTGTTATCACCCTCACTTAAATGATTTTAAATCTTCTTTTCCTGCTGTAAACAAACAGACATCAAGTTGTGAATGCATTGGTATTATTACGTTTTGGTCCTGCAGAGTCTGTGATCAAAGCCGTATCCATGGCAACACTGTGTTCTTCATAACAACTGTCCGCTAGTGAGAAATAACGGACCTCTGCTATGGAACGTTTTCCTATCAAAATCAAGTATTTTGCACAGCTGTGTGAACAGATACAACTGAATACATAATATGATGATTATAATACATAAAGTCTTTGAACCAACGCAAACTGGTTTGTCTTCAGCCGGAGTTTATGAAGTATTGAAATTATTAGTTGTTCATAAGTTTCAAACTGTGATAAAAGCAAATGTGTTAACTCAAGTAACTTGGATGAGTTCAACCCAGTTCATGCTCGACAAAATACATGAAATGATTTCAGGTTGTAACAAACTTGGGTGAGTTTAAAAACAACCCACATCTCCTCCATGGTATCATGCATCTACATTATAACTTCTGGCTTAGGGACAGTGAAGTTGAATAAAAGACTATCAGAGTTTGGACATGGAGCACACTAGAGTACACAAAAAGGTGGAAAAGTGTTAAATGGGTTTTTGGACACGCTGTGTGCATTTAGTTTCAGATTTGTGTTGTTTTGCTTGTGTGAACACTGGACACTGGTGCAGAATAACCCCTCTGATCTTTGATTTTCAGCATGTGCAGCTTTTCATTTCTTTATAAAACACTTTAATCTGCTGTAAATATCTTTCCTTGTTTAACCAGATAGCCATGACAAAGAAACACAGATCTGCAGAGAGTTTTATTTTCCTTCTTGACTGTTTTCCTCCAGTTTTGTTCGACTACACGGCCCTCCTGTATAGGCTGAATATGACTTTTTTTTTTTTTCCAGTTTCCTTGTAACTCTTGACAGGTAATCTAAGCAAAGCCTGTTTTGTTTCCCCTTTTCTGTCCGCTCTGTTTGTGAGGCTGAGGTACAGCAGCAGTTCAACAAGGCCCCCATTTTAAAAAGTGAACAAGTGCTGCTGCAGGATGTTCAGATTTTAGGGGAAGTGAGCAGGTGAATTATTGATCGTGTCTCACATTCCCCTAAATGAAGAAGGTCACATTTCATTTCTAACGCGTTGCTGCTCTCCTACAAAAACCTTTCGTAGAAGAACAGCATAAAAAACATAAAACTCAATACAAAAGAAACTTTTTTCTTATGAATGGTTATTAAAATAATGGAAAGTGTGCGTGTCTGTCTGCAGAAAGAGCCTCTGGACGACTCCGGCTGGACCATTAAGAACGTCCTGTCTATGCCAATTGTCAACAAGAAAGAGGAGATAGTGGGTGTGGCCACGTTCTATAATAGGAAAGATGGGAAACCCTTTGATGAAATGGATGAAACGCTGATGGAGGTAAAGGCTGTGTGTGTGTGTGTGTGTGTGTGTGTGTGTGTGTGTGTGTGTGTGTGTGTGTGTGTGTGTGTGTGTGTGTGTGTGTGTGTGTGTGTGTGTGTGTGTGTGTGTGTGTGTGTGTGCAGCACTGAGTCACTGGTTTATAAATACACTCAGGCCATTCAGAGCGTCTGCATTATTTATCTCTGGGCCCCGAGGCTTTTTACTGAAGTTCCTCTCTCTCTCTCTCTCTCTCTCTCTCTCTCTCTCTCTCTCTCTCTCTCTCTCTCTCTCTCTCTCTCTCTCTCTCTCTCTCTCTCTCTCTCTCTCTCTCTCTCTCTCTCTCTCTCTCTCTCTCTCTCTCTCTCTCTCTCTCTCTCTCTCTCTCTCTCTCTGCCTCACTGCTCAGAATTCAGTTTAAAGACACAACATGACAGTTTGATCCTCGTCTGCTCCCTCTAAATCAAAGTATTTATAATCCTTGACTCTATTTTGACATTTGAATCGGGTTTGGTGTGATTTTTCCGCAGTTTCACCGGATCCATTTCACCAAAGTTTTCTTCAGAGAGCTTTTCGATTCGGTTTCTTTACCGATGGCGTGCGGCAGTGTTTAGCAAACAAACAAACACCAGGGGAAAGTCACTGCTTGTAATAACTCAAGAACAATTAGGAGGTACTTGTACTGTAAATTAATACTGTACCCCAGAGTATTTCAAGAGGAGATACTGCACCTTTTCCGCTGTACAGGTGCAGCTCAAAGAATCAGGAAGCCCTGAAAAAAGTTCATTTTTTTTGCCATAAAGTGAAACTTCCATATTTTTTAGATCCATCACACACAAAGTAATATTTGAGGACAGTAGTTTCACATGTGTTTTATAATAATACAGACATCAGTGTTCGCTAATTTGTTCAGTTGCTTTGACACTGCTTCAGATTAAATCAATGACTCTCACTTCTCTTTGGGAATAATGGGACATTCGTGTGTCATTTAGTTTTGGACTTTTTTTTTTTCCTACTTTATTTTTAAATTCAACAATATTTTTATAAGTTTTCTACAGATATACACAGGAGACACATTACAAACACCCCCTTTCCCTCAAAACCCAGTCTACAGCTGGATATTTCTATTACTTTGTTTAAATAACAAATTTTGGAGCTATAACAAAAAATAAAGAAAAAAAGAAATAAGTACATAAATCAAAAAAATTAATAAAAAAATACAAGTAAGTGCTGGAATTCAGGTTTTATAGATCTTGAAATACATGAGATGTTGAAAAATAAAAAGTAAAAAAGAGAATAAGTTAAAGAGAGAAACAAATGTAGACAAGTCACTGAAAACTGAAAAAGTCCATAAAAGAGGTAAGAATTTGAATTGTATGATTGTAAAACATCACAGAAATACATTTTAAACACAGAAATATATTTCAAAAGAAAGATTTCATACTTTATTTTTATCTAAACACTCAACTGAACACATTGAAGCAAACAATTGGTCACCTATACATTCATACTGTTGTTGTTATCACTAATAGAAGTACAATAATGGCTACAATCTCTACAATCTCATTTTGTTTTGGAGCCTCCAGTATTCAGATTTGAACTCCTGTTTTTCTCTGTCTTTCTCCTGCTTACAAACACCCGTGTCCAGTCTCTCACTCAGTTCCTGGGCTGGTCCATGCTGAACCCCGACACCTACGATAAGATGAACAAGCTGGAGAACAGGAAGGACATCTACCAGGACATGGTCATGTACCACGTGAAGTGTCGCAAGGATGAAATCCAGCACATTCTGGTTAGTAAATAAGTAAGATCTGTTACATAATCAGCCGCTTCTCTGATAAATCTTTTATAGAAACTCATTTTCAGACTCTTGATCTAAGCTTCCAGACGGTGTTTTATGCTTTTTTAGTTTGTGGGTTTCAGGCTCGCTGAAGTGTTCCTAATATTTAAAAAACTGGGGATTATTTTCCCTCTTTTACTTCAGGTAAAGCTGTTCAGAAAGCTTCAAAAACCTGAACCTCTTCCTATGACATTTTCATTTACACGCCTCGAAATATCTAAATCGCTGATATTTTGAAGAAAGGAGTCGAACTTTGCTTCCATTATCCCTCAGATATTCTCCGTGATTGTGGTCACGGCGTTGGCCAAAGCGGGATTTAGCAGCTCCGTCTCCAACACTTCCGCCTCGTTGTCTTGTGTTTTGTCAGCATTGCAAGCAAGAGCCTGCCTCTGGGTCTTTTTAGCAGATTTAGACGTCATTTTGTCGTTTGCTTCGCTTCAATAATACTCCGAGGTCATCACATAAATCTCTACTAATGTTTAATAATAACTCTGGCTGTATCAAAAGTAAAAAGACAGGACATTTTTTATTTTCTTATTTTTCATGAAATTAAAACCAGTAACCAAGTATCCCGCTGCAGGCACTGAAAAAAAGAACGAGGCGAATCTCCTCACAAAATTTAATCCAGTTTGGTTAAAAAAGAGTGCATTTAAATCTCTATAATCTAGATTATCCATTTTGATTATTCCCTTTAGCAAATTTAGCTTTAGAAGTTTGCATGTAACATAAAATTGAGTTTCATTGTTCTGTTGAAAATAAGAAAAAAACCACACCCTCTCCTAAGATGAAGTGAAGGAAAAGTAAACAGAGGAAAGAAGGACACTTAGATTAAGTTAAATTTAAATATCAGTTTCAATCCTGTGGATTATGTCCATGGCTTTTTTCTTTACAGTTGTTATAAACACACAGCAAAGCCGTTCAGTTTCAAAGCAGTGTGTTATATTTGCGGACATAAAGCATCGTTTGTAAGCTGAAATAAACTGTCAGGATTTCTATGAGGTGATTTGTCAGTGGGCAGAGAGAGAGAAAGGACAAAAGCAGGAAGATGACCCAGTTTGACCTCGGATCAGGAGTCTGGTGATTGATGCTGAAGCGTTTCATCCAAGGTGAGCGCTGTTAATGTGTGTGTCCCCCCCAGAACACCAGAGAGAGATGGGGGAAGGAGCCGGATGAGTGCGAGGAGGAGGAGCTTCAGGAGATCCTGGTAAAAACAAACAACAAGAAGAAGAATCAGTCCACCTGAAATATACTGAGACAAAGAAAACCATTTCCACTCTTATCCAACACAGACAATTACAAAGATGAGGATGCAACAGAGGAACTCTTAAATACTTCACTGTTTCTAATTCTTTCACATTTTAAATACTGTGTGAGTATCTCAAAAAAACATGGCCAATATCTGCATGATGAATTGATGTTTGTGTTTATCTCTGTCTGCAGTCGGAGGTTCTTCCACACTCTAAGAAATCTGAAATCTTTGAGTTTCACTTCTGCGACTTTGATCACAGCGAACTCGACCTGGTCAAATGTGGCATCAAGATGTACTACGAGCTGAAAGTGGTGGACAAGTTTCACATTCCCAGAGAGGTGGGTGGTTCCTCACTAAACAGAGTCATGTACGATGGTTTCTATGCAAAGAGATTTCAACTTAAGGAGCTCCAGTGTTGAACTGTCTAAAGATGACAAAGTAAGTTGGAATCTGTTTTTTGGTTTTCAGACGATTAAAAAAACAAGCAGGAATATGTCAGATTTTTTGGAGAAATTATCAGTACTATGCAAAACCTGCCCTCAAATATAAGAAAAATACGAATACAGCTCTGCTTCCACACTAAAGGTGAAGGAGACGGATCACTGGGAAGAAAAGCAACGAGCAATTTTCTGTGGCTAATGCTTACACACTGCTGTTACCTCAGATAACAGGCCCGGGACATCAGCAGAGTTTTCTCTGATGAGGTGAAACTAAAACTTTAACGTGCTTCAGAGGAGAGGCCTGCAACGTCTGAAAGTTTAACAATTCATTAAACAGAAAAATGGACAAAGACAGGGACACAGATCAGCTTCTGGAGTCATTCGTTAGCATCCAAGGCCAACTGTGAACCGATGACCAGCCTTGGTTGATTATCAGGCTGATATTTAACATCTGTATCAGAATGATATTTTTCCGGTGGCCAATAAAATGAATTGATTACAATATTGGTCGACCCTGTTTCCAGGTTAACTCTGGTACATTTTTTAAGACCTTGTTATGGTGCAACATTTTGTGACTTCACCCGGATGGGCTGCATGTGTGAACACAAACAGCCAAAGTTTTACCCTAGCTTTATGAAGACTTCCTGCTCTAGAATTTCCTAAAAAAAATCAGAGTGATCTAAGTGCGGTAAATTCACAGGAAGCAAGAGGATGGAGAGCTGAGATTTGCTGCTTTATATCCTTCACTGCTGGCCTCGGTTGTCTGTATTTCACTCTCAGCTGTTTTGTTTGCGTTGCTTATAACTGTTGATTTTATACAGTGTTATAAAAAGGAACAGGAACAGTCATCATAACTGAAGTCTTCTACTTTCTCTACATGTGATACCCCACCGCCTCCCTCCACTTAAACCAGAGTACATCAAGATGTAAGAGCTCCTCTGACAGAGTAGACCACCTGCTGTGAGGTGCACGTGTGAAAGGCAGTTCCTGAAAACATCAGAGCCCCAATGTCCTCAAGTTATCTTCAAAATGTTAGAAGTTCACGCGCTGAAGGGGCGCATCTTCAAAGCTCGCATTTAATAAGAGGGCCTCCTTTTTCCAAGTGAGGTGATGAAAACAAGGTCAAAGGCAGGGTGAGGTAACAGCGCCGCTGTAAAAGTGACACAACCCCAGAGAGCCGTAAAACGAACATGTTTAAACAGCGAGACGTACGAAGGTTTGTTCTTGTTTAGTGAACTGATAAAAGGATATTTTCTGAAGCTAATGAAAGGCAGGGATTTCAAAGGGATGCAAAATTACAAATTAGAAATCAAAGGAGTTTTCAAAGCAAATAACTGCGGCCCACTGCTGCACCTAACACGAGAATAAAAAAGTTAAATCATCACAATAAAAGCTCGATTAACTGTTCTGTTCGGTCAGATCAGGACAAGAGAATATATAGAATGAAAAAAAGTGGACATGGAGCATTAAACCAAACACATAGATGAATTTTCTGTTCTTGCTTTCGTTGAACCAGGTTTTCAAAATCCTGCAGGAAAAAAAAAAATTGTTTGTTTTTGTTAATAATTGTGTTGAAAAATGATCAGAGAATATATTTTATCTTCCAGCGTTTTGTTTCGGTGGTTTTATGTGTTTTACACTAAATCATGAACCTGTGTGTGGTGTGCAGGTCTTGGTGAGATTCATGTACTCTCTCAGTAAAGGCTACAGGAGGATCACCTACCACAACTGGAGACACGGGTTCAACGTCGGGCAGACCATGTTCACCCTGCTGATGGTAAACTTTCCAACTTTCTAACAAGAGGATGTGTCTTAGAAATAATATGTGTTTATTATGCAGTTATTAACACTTATTAATGTTTATAAGCATTTATAAGGAGCCTGTTAACGATTTATTTCATCTTATTAAAAGATCATCAATATATAGTGTTACTGAAATGTTCTTTTATAACTAAATGTGACAAAGCTGCTTCTTCTACTCTCAATCCACCTTTCTTTTTCTCCTCATCTTCCTCCTCCTTCCTCCGTCTCTGTCTTAAACATTATTTTCCTCCTTTTTCATTCCCTGTGTTGTCATGTTGAATTTACTGTATATGTGATCACGGCCGCTGATGTGAATTTGACTGTTTGTGTGTTTTAGAGAGAATAAATGGAGTGTGTCTGTAAAAGAAATGGGAGTCAGTGATGCTTGAAGTGGTCATTACTAAGAAAACCAGTATGTTGATCATGATCAGCTGATGCGTGTGTCTGTGTTTGTTTGTTTATTTGTTTGTTTACGTTCATGTTGTCAGACAGGTGATCTGAAGCGGTACTACACAGACCTGGAGTGTATGGCCATGGTGACCGCCGGCTTCTGCCACGATATCGACCACCGAGGGACCAACAACCTCTACCAGATGAAGTAAGAGCTGCTGTGAGACAGGAAGGGGGGAACAGTGGGGTTTCTCAGCATGTCATTCAATCAACTAAAAGGTAGTATATTTGACGCAGAGAGGCAGAGAGGCTGTTAACTCCTACATTCTGCTAAATCAAATCAAACTTAAGTTATAAAGCGCTTTTCATACAAAAGGATATAACACAAAGTGCTTTACAGTCAGTTTAAAAAACAAAAACTATCCCAGATTCCTCACCCGCACGCACGCACGCCAACGCCCCTGCACATACACACACTAAGATAATGGACATGAGGCCGAGTACAGATGAACCAATTGAGAAAACGCCATCAGAGGAGCCATCAGCACCAGGAGCAGAGATGAGGGATGTGGCGGACACCAACCTCTACCAGGAACCCCGTGACCGGCCCCTGCAACCACAAGCAACCACTGGTCCCGGTGCCGAGGGCTCCTTCAGAGGAAACACTGGGGGTCCTAAAAATGATAAAAGGATAAAAACAAGTGAAAAATAAAATATGAATAAAACACAGACCTAAAATAAACCAAAGCTAACTAGAATAAATGAAGATATTAATTAAAAGCTAAGCTAAAAAGGTGGGTCCTGAACCTGCTCTTACAAACATGAACATTCTCTGAGGTCCTCTGACAGGCTGTTCCAAAGACGAGGGCCATAATATTGAAAAGACGCCTCGCCATGAGTGTGTGTCCTGACTTTTGGAATGACGAGGAGACCGCTGCCAGAGGAGCGCAGGGTCCATGAAGGTTCATAGAGTAAAAGCATTTCTGAAAGATAAGACGACCCAAGACCATTTAGACATTTAAAAACAAGTAAAAGAACCTTAAAATCGATCCTAAAACACACGGGGAGCCAATGCAGTGATTCTAAAACCGGTGTAATGTGGGCCCGCCTCCTGGTCTTAGTCAGGACACATGCTGCTGAGTTTTGTAATAATTATAGTCCTGATGTATTCTTTTTGGGAAGACCAGAAAGCAGGGCATTACAATAGTCTCTACGACTGCTGATAAAAACATGCATTAGCGTCTCCGTGTTGGCCCGAGAGAGAGTTAGACTCATGATTGGTCCATCTCGGGTCATTTGAGTCCATGCGTTTGCTCCCTCTGGCTCCTCTTCTTTGTGTCTCTACCCCGTCCCAACTCCAGCAATCAGGCGCCCTCTGCAGCAGATATGCACGACTTCTGTTCATGCAGGACGTCATATCGTGGCGCATCAACCATCGCAGAGCAGATCGAGGGGGAGAGAGGATATTAGACGCTAAACCATGGTGATGCCAGACCATCATAGTGAGTGGAGCCAGGCCTGGGGTCAATAGGTCAGAAGTTTTGGAGCTTAATAAGGATACGGAGCAAGAAGTCAGACCGCATCAGAGTGGAGATTATTAAACAACAGCAGCTGTCTTTAAATATATTATTTGGTAATAATTGGAGGATTTCCTGTGACATTAAAGAGAGATATAAACTGAGGTGAAATCATATCAGACTCTGAAGCAGACTGTTAGAGGTAAATAAAGGATTAGAGTCGTACTCACCTGCTGTACTGACCCAGTTTTTCTCTCTCTCTCTCGTTTCGGAAATCATCTGTTTGGTTTTTCTGAGCGTTTAATTGACTCAAAGTGACCGCGGCCACTCCCCCCCCATGTCCAGCCGAGCTGACCTCAGCTCTTTAGGTGAAGGTAATGTCGCACACTGAGAACATCAATGAGCTGATATTGACCAGATACACCTCCAGCTGCTCTGCTCCACCTGCTGATTGATGAGCTAATGAGAGCTGCCATTAGCCGCAGACGCAGCAGGCCAGGCCCACCCTGGGTTTAACATGCATGATTTATCACAGCAGAACCTCCCCAACATGGTTCTGTGTGTGTGTGTGTGTGTGTGTGTGTGTGTGTGTGTGTGTGTGTGTGGGTTTCCAGGTCTGGTAATCCTCTGGCTAAACTTCACGGCTCCTCCATCTTGGAAAGACACCATCTGGAGTTTGGGAAGACACTGCTGAGAGATGAAGTACGCTACAGTTCACACACACACGCACACACACACACACACACACAAACACACACACACACACACTGCATCTCTTCAGCTGACTAATGTACCTCTCTTTTATGAAATAAAACAGTAATTTAATTCAAAAAGATTCATTTTTTCATCATTTTTCCTCTGAGGTGATTTTTCTCCATTATTCATATTTCAGTCTCTTCCTCTGAGATCTGTACCTGTTGATCAGAGTTCAGATTAGATGTATGTTACGTAAATCAGCGCCCTCCTACACACCTCTCTGTACTTTCTAAATCCATGTTGATGTTTTTGATCTGTATTTTCCTCTTGTGTTGTAGTCGCTGAACATTTTTCAGAATCTGAACCGCCGTCAACACGACCTCGTCATCCACCTCATGGACATCGCCATCATCGCCACGGACCTGGCTCTTTATTTCAAGTCAGTAAAAACTTGTTTTTTTTCATTACATTTTAATTTTGATGGTATTTAATTATTTTGATCAGTAGTTTAAGACAGTTATGGTGTTTGATTGTTGATCCGCCACAGATGTGTCATTGAATGAGTGGCTCATTCAGATTTTGAACCCATAATAAAAACATAATGACACAATATATAAAAATCTGATATTTTTAGTAGTTTTTAAATAATTTAAACTCAGTTTTTTATTAGAGTTGTCAGATTTAGAAACTGGAGTGTCTTGTTTTATTAACAGTAAATGCCCATTTTAACCTTGATCAGCAGGTTTCAGATCAGTTCCAGGGACATATTTATCCTTTTGTCTTCAACAACACCCTGTAAACATTTGAGAACAGAGGAGGAAAGTTTCTGGAGCTCTGAGGATGAAATATGTCCCTGTTCAGACCTGGTTCAGGGTTTAAGCTGCTCAACATTTTGGGGTCTTGTTTAAATCTGGCGTCTCTTTGCATGTTTTAGTTTTTAAGTGCATTTTTAGATGCAGCAATGAACCAACGGTTTATGGAAGTGGTTTTATACCCATACAGTGACTTCTACTTAGGGCTGGGGGATATGGCCTCAAAGATCACATCAGTCTGAAATCAGACTTAAATCAGATCAAATCACTTACATCTCACCAAAGTTTGTTCCTATCCTCATTTTACACGACACACTGGCCGATGTTTTATTAAAAAAAGAACTCTGACCTCTTAATCTTGAATTGAAAAAGCAACAATCAATTGAATAACTTTGAGTAACCGCTGAAAAAAGTGGGGTATTCACAGCTGCCCACCTTCCCACAACACCATGTGACCTTTGACCTCAGTCAAACACAAACAGATGAGATATCATGTGTTGATGTGCAGCAAACACAAAATGACGAGCCTGTTTGGTAACCCACCCACAAACCCAGAACGGCGCCAAAACCTGGAGCTGATGGAGATGGTGGTTTCTGAATCAGCCTCTACATCAAAACATCAGATACAACATGAAGTGGAGGGTTCAGGGGCTCGTGTGTGTAACACTAATTCACAGTGAGGATTAACAGTCTGTGTGTGTGTGTGTGTGTGTGTGTCCACAGGAAGAGGACCATGTTCCAGAAGATTGTGGACCAGTCCAAGACCTACGAGAACTGGAGCGACTGGACCAAATACATGATGCTGGAGACCACGCGCAAAGAGATTGTCATGTAAAAGCTCACACACACAGACACACACACACACAGAGGAAACCATGTGATACGCAGACACACTGAACTCAGCCGTGTGTTGTGTTTCCAGGGCCATGATGATGACTGCATGTGACCTGTCCGCCATCGCCAAACCGTGGGAGATTCAGAGCAAGGTACGCACCTGTGTGGTCTCGGTAACCTACAGGGTCCTTTCATACCTCGCAGCGGTGGTTGGAAAATGGCTCTCCAGCTGTTCGCCGTAATAAGAGACACGCTCTCTGTGGAGGGGGACCAATGATGAAGTAGACGCAGAAAGACATTCTGTCAGCGCTGCCATTCCTCTCAGCGGCGTTCAGCAGTGATTCCTGACGACCTCATGCATCAAAAGCTACTTGGTGCTTTTCATTCCCCTCATCACCGCCTGGCAGGCTCAAGTGTGTTATTTCTCCAAAGCATGTAATAGACACATCGCAATAAAGCCTGCACATACGGGCGTATCAATATAAACAGAAAGCAGTTCTGGCTGTTGGAAAGCTGCTGCAGCTGGAGGTGATTTTTTACCTTTATTTGTTGACTGGAAGCACATACTCTTTCAAAAACACCTCCTCCCCATCTCTTTACACACAAATGAATTCAAAGAGACTCGTAGCAATTCCATCAAAAACCCATACCATAGAAAAATCAGCGGCAGTCATTTAGAGCACTGCCAGTTTCGTCCTGGTGAAGCTCTGAATGCTAAAGTGAATCCCCCCCCCCTCAGGGATGTGGCTCCTATCAGGGCCGGCTGGATAAATTCAAAGATTTGAGACAATTAACTCAAGAATTTCCTCCAGTTTCTGTGTGTTTTAGTGGATTATTTAACCTCTTTAGGGCCACAAAATGAGTGGAATAAGATGATTAAAAATAAAAGCTCCTGGTGGAATCGGTCCCGCCCTTAATAGGTCTGTAACAACACGGACTCACAAGTAAACACAAACTATCTTAAGGCTCAAGAGCTGAACATGTTCGAGGTTCAGTTCCAGAGGTGCTTACAGGAAAATTAAAACACACAATTCATAAGTTGTCTTTATCATACAAGGAGTATTAAGAGAATTTAACTAAGACAAAAGCAATGTAGAGAAAGAAAACATGCAGGATTTATAACAGAAGAAGAAACATAGGAAGCAGATCGATGATCGGAGCTGCTGGTGAACTACCATCAAAGCGTCAATGTTGACGAAGATTTAAAGTTGTCATGTTTGCTTGTTGACGCTAAAATAACCAGTTAAAATAACCCATAATGCTTTACGGCCTGGGTGTAAACCAGCACAGATGACAGTTGGCGTCTTGTAGTGTCGGATGTGTCTGGTTAAAAACAGGTTACCTTGTAGTAGGGCTGGGCGATAAACCGAAAATTTACCAATACTGAGATTTGCGACAATAATCGACATTATTTTGCCCGTATCGGTATATTCGGTGTCAAAAAAGTAAATAAATAAAAGTTTGTTTTGGATGTGTGTAGGTAGGCTATGGTCTCATGTCCCTTTAAGACGCTGTCCTACGTAACAAAGAGGGAAAGACAGGTGAGGAGATGGAGGACGGTTCAAAAGTTGTAGCGGCTGAAGTAGAGGAAGTTAATGTGGGAGGGGGTGAGCAGCTTGTGGAGTAGTTATCGTCCATTTATCGTTATCGAGGTGAACTGATCAATATATCGTGATATTGATTTGAGGCCATATCGCCCAGCCCTACCCTGTAGCATGAGGTCCTTGTCATAACTCTGCAGAGTAAAAGCTTTCTGTCAAAAAGTTCACAGTCATCAAACCAGGCGGGGAAATTTAATCATGCTGTTTTCCTGCCTTATAAACTTACTAAAGTACAAACGAAATCAGGACTTTTACTCATCCTGCGTTGCACAACTGTTGCCAATTAGGATATCCCACTTTTCATTTTTAGTGCATCTTCTCTCTCCTGTTAGATTTCACCTTTATGTGCACCTGGTGAGTCAGCTCTACATCCCACTCACTCTGACAGATTATCTACTGCGTCGGCCTCCCTCCTGTGAGTTGTGCTCTAAAAGTGGTCTGATGACTAACTCGTCCTCTAAAAGGTGAATTCCAGCCTGAATATCCCCATAACATATTGTATCTGTCAAATGAAACATTACAAACTCCAGTTTGAAAGATGATTATAGGAGGAGAACTGCAATGCAGAGCGGATCCTTCAAAACAGACTCAAGTCGAATCAGTATGAATCACCGGCAGTGTTGGATGACTCTCTATCACAGCTCCACTTTGTTGGATTCCTGCATGAAAACGACCTGAAATACCGGAGAATACACCCAGATTTTCAAGTATTACATATGTGTGTTCCTGTTTCTGATGTTGAAAAAACAATACCCCGACCTGCTTCATTCTTGATGAGATATTTCACTGACATTTTTATGACGCATTTCATTCTTTACACCGTTTTTTTGCTTCCCACGCAGACAGAATATCTTCTCCACAGGCTGCAGCAGCCTCATGGCAATTGTTTCCCCCTAAAAAAGGCTGGATGACTAACTCTTTCTAAAATGAGGTTTCTACCCTGAATGCAGAATCCACATATTATTCATCGCATCTCTCGTTGCTCCGTTTTTGGTCTTTGAGAGCTGACAAAACAGGCTTTCATTTCATCAAGACACAAAGCCTGTAACTGCCGCCTGATCCGGGAACAAGACTCTCATTTATGAGATATTGTGAAAGCTTTACTGGAGGATTTAAACAACATGTGAGGGAAGATTTCCTGCTTGATAAAACGCCACTCATATCAGCGCCATGAAGAATGGGCCGTATGGGACCGTTTCAGCAGAACAGATATTTCTGAGGTTATTAGTTTCAATTTGTCAACGGAGAGGAAGTACAACAGGCATTTGGATGAACGAGTGATCAGATAAGAGAAGAGCACACTTGATTTAGCTCGCATCAGGATAATAGAGTCACTTATTCTGGTCTTATTGAACACATTTGGGCTCTCCAGTGGTTTCTTAATTAAAAATACTGAAAGTAAAACATAATGGGTTGATTTCCCTCCTCATCCTCTAGGTGGCGCTGTCTGTAGCTGCAGAGTTCTGGGAGCAGGGAGACCTGGAGAGGACCGTCCTGGAGCAGCAACCCATTGTAAGAACACAGAGACGCTAATGAGAAGGTCTGGACAGCATGGTGCTAAATCCCACTGTGCTGGGCTATCTATAAATGACCTTTGACCTTTATGAAAGTTGTTTTTCTGCAGTCAGTGAAGTAAAATAATAATAATAAGTAAGATAAGAAGTATTTTAGCTTTTAATCAGCAAAAAAAAAAGAACAAAACAAAACCTGCAACTGTAAACATATTTTTATTCTGTTTGCATCCTCCAAGCTGGATCCTTTGTTACTTTATAAGACTCTTTTTGGTGATAATAATAATTAATAAATCAGCGCATATGTTGGCCTTTAGTTCGAGCACAAATAAGGAAATATTACTGCTGAGTTGCAAAAAAAAGAAGTACCTGGATCTCTCTTTGCCAACTTTTTCTTTCTCTCCCCCCCACTCTCTCTTTTTTTCTGAACCGGGAGGCTAAAGTTTGAGAGGGAATGAGGGAGGATTTGGTGGGCGGACAGGAATGATAGGAAATAAAGCAGGACAAGCCTCTCCTTAGGGCTTCAATTTAGGATGGAGAGCAGGAAGGACACGATGAGAGCGAAGGAGAAGAAGAGACAGAATCGCAGCGGGGAGACGAAATGAAAAGACAGATTTAGTTCCCCGTGGCGGCCGTGTGGAGCGGTGTTCAGGCCATTATGTGGAGCACTGATACAGAAAGAGCGGGCACTGTGGCCCTAACCTAGCCGAGCGTCCCCTCCCTCGGCTCCCTCTCCCCTCCTCACTCGGTCTCACTCCCTCCTGTCCTTGAGACACTTGAAGTGTGAGAAGCGCTGTCCCACACTCCCTCACCTCGCTCCGCTCTGAATTTAATAGCATCTGTGTCAGCGGGGAGAACTTTTCATTTTGATCAGTTTGTATTTTCCCAGCAGTCAATTCTGTGACTCGCTGTGGTCCGACAGGAAAGAAAAAAAGACTCAGCAGAGGTCGCAACACCTGAACAGTTTTCATCAGGAAATGTAGGTGCACAATTTTGCCAGCAATTACAGCCACCGTCAAGTTTCTTACAGCTGTGTGACGGCTTTTTACAGCTCTGTGCTGCCGGGTAAACAGTGTACCGTGAACATGTGTGTGTGTGTGTGGTCTCCTGGATCTAATGTTTGTACAAGCTGAAGTTTATCAAATAGAGACTCCTCTCTTTAGCGTGGAAAGTTCACATTTAATCTCTGCAAAGAAAAGGATTTTTGAGTGTTTTTAAGAAGTCGTAGTTTCAGCTTCAAACGTCATTTTTTCTTCATACAAACTGTTTTTTCACTCGGGTTCATCTTTGTAGCTGCTTTTTTTACAGAAGCCTATTTTTCCATCAGCATACAGAGGCGTCCATATTTCTCTAAGACAGTCTACATTGCTCTCTTACGTTGCGTCACTCTCGTTCTGTCACAGTCAGCTGGTCGTTTTGGTGATGGCCTGTCAATCACAACCACCCACAAAGCATATCCCACTTTATTGAATGTTCTGCTTCAAATGCAGCAACAGTTTAAAAAAATACACCACGCTTTGTTGAAAAAGACTGGAGTCAGCGGCCGAGACCACAAACTAAATAGGAAAAATGTTCACCGGCATAATAAATCAAGTAACAGTGAAAACATTTTCTCTAAAACCTCATTACAAGAAGACTAACTTCCACTCAGGTCGTTTATTTTGCAACAAGTCGTTTCAGGGAAAAAAACTGTTTAATTAAAAGTTTTTCATCCGAGCAGAAAACAAGAGTTGAAAAATCAGCTTTGAACTTCAAGTATCAGCGGTAAAAAAGGAAGGATAACTTCATCATACGTCTGTTTTTTTAAAGCAAGATTAATCAGTTCACTTCTGAGCTTTATTGATCTGCAGCTGCAAAAAACAGAAACATGGAGCATCACAGGAGCGAACGACCAACAGTTTGAGTTAAAGCAAATCTGATCATCAAATAAGAGTGTCAATGAAAATTGTGCAAAAGTGGCTGCAGGAGAGGATTATGGGTACTTTTTTAGATTTCAGGATGAGTGATCACTACGACAGAGTATGAGGGCCACACTAAGAAAATAATTAAGTCTTTGACTCACGAGAATAAAATAATTACTAATGAGAATAAAGTCGTAATAAAATCATAACTACAAAAGAGGATTAGGGCCACATGAAGAGAAAAGAAAATTACAGGAAGGGGATTAAAATCAAAGATTTGAGATTAAAGTCGAAAGTTTGAGATTTAAAAATCGAAATTATGTCAATAAAGTCGAAATTTCGAGATAAAATAATGGAAACTTCAAGATTATGACATGTCGTGAATAATGTCAAAATTTCCAGATTAAAAAATTTTAATTTTAAGATTCAAGTCAAAATTTTGAGACCTGAATAAAGCCGTGATTTTGACTTTTAAAATTTAAACTTTAGTCTCAAAATTCCGACTTTAATCTCTAAATGGAAATGTAAAAAATCTCTCTTCTGTAATTATGTCTTTCTCTTCTCGTGGCCCTTATCCTCTTTACTCACGAGAATAAAGTCGTAATAAAATCATTATTCACAAGAATAGAGTCGTGCTTCACATGTGTATATGTTTAACTCTCTTTCTCTCTATTTTTCAGCCAATGATGGACAGAAACAAAGCGGAGGAGCTCCCAAAGCTGCAGTGTGGTTTCATCGACTTTGTTTGCTCCTTTGTTTACAAGGTCAGAATTTTTCACACACAGAAACTTTCATCACTGATTCTCATTTACAGTAAATTTTAAAAACAGTTCAGGTTTGAAGCGGGATCACCATCATCAGATTATTCACATCATACAGATGTTATTAGACAGATTACAGGTCCTTTATTGTCTGCGTAGGTTTCCAGGTCATGGTTATCCAAGGCTTGATCTAAAGGCAGAAATGGACCTGGTCTGAGTCTTCTAGAACTGAAACCAAGTCCAGCTCCTCTTTGGATCAACCCTTCAGTACATCTGCTTTAATGTATTAAAGATTCAGAGTCTGCAGAGTTGACTCTCCACCTGTTTCCCAGGAGTTCAGCCGTTTCCACGTGGAGATCACTCCGATGCTGGACCGTCTGATGAACAACAGGAAGGAGTGGAACGCCCTGAAGGAGGTGCATGAGGCCAAAATGGCGGCACTTGAGGAGGCCAAGAAAGCCAAGGAGGGAGCTCAGAGAGGTGGAGGAGCCGCACAAGGTAAGAGATGCAAACACACTTAAAAATAAAAATGAGTGAATTGAGCATAGAGCTAGTTCAGGCAGGCCACAAAGTCAGGATCAGTCCATAGTAGGTGAGCTGATCCAATCCCAGCTTTTGATGCTGTGTCCCTTGGGGGAGGATGAAGTCTTTGCTGCTGCTCCTCCTGCCCCACCATGAGGGGAGGTGTGCTCTGCCCGCCTCATGTCTGTGGAAGGGCAGAAAGCTGTTAGAGTCCGAGCAATAACTACCAAATATAACGTACTGTGTGGAAAAGGTTATGAATGTGGTCCTGACTGAACTCTGATTCACGTGGGATTAAACGCCTCTGAGCTTTAACAGTCCATGTATCAGGTTTGGGGTGAATTCTAGTGCAAAATTTATGCCAAGGCTGCTGCCGGGTAAATTTAGACATACCAGAGTAGACACTTGAAAAGAGAAGAAGTTTGTTTTCTCTTTTAAAAAAATCTCTTCATTCTCCTTCTGTCCTCCTGCAGGCAGCGGGGCCCAGTCCAAGACTTGTCTCCTCAGTTAGAGATGCTGCACCAGGACGAGGTTACACAGTCCGGCACTGGCTCATCCTTAAAGACTTCTGCATCATGAGATATCTACAGGAGTTTAAAGACGGCTGCATCTACTGTTACCTCTGCTCATCTGCTTTCTTTCCTGTTTTCTCTCTGCGCTGCTGCTGCTGCTGCTGCTGCTGCTGCCTCTCTGTCCTTTGATTTTGTGTTACTCATCAGAAAACTTTGATGCTGAGGGATGTTCGGCTGTTTATGTGAAGCTCAAACACCTTATATATCAGAAAAACCTACACAAAACAAGTGAATCCTCCCTGTTACATATAGTATCTAAAAAAACAAGTATCTTTAATACATATTTGCAGCATAGAGGAGTTTGATCAGTGGATCAAAGTCGAAGTTCGTCATTTAAAAGTTTCAGCGTTTACTGTCAGATTTTGACTCGAGGAAGAACTTTGAATTCCTGTTTTGCCATTTCAAAGTGATCTGTGTCCCATATACCAGTAAGACCAGTATACCAGTAGGCAGAGGTATTCTATTTAGCAATGGAAAGATCTGCACATCTGCATATCATCTGTATAATCTGAATGCTGAATTCATGAAGTCTTCATTGCATTCAGTGAGTCTTCCTCTAGGATTCCTCCAAAAACAGACTGCATCTTATCTGGAGAAACATCTATTACAGATTTTACGGTATAGATTAAGAATTACAGTATGTCAATAATTTTACAGTCATAAAACATGTCAGGTGTCAGTTTAAAGTTTCTTTGAGGACGTTTTAGACGAACAAGTTAACAGCAGTGGCTCCTAATTTAGACCAAAGTTATAAATTAGCTGAAATATTCTTCATTATCACTCTGTGGTCATTTGAAGTGTTTTAAAAATGTGATTTATTTGGAAAGTAGAATTTGTTTTGGCTTCTGTCAGATCAGATGTGCAGTTTTAGGATGTAAAGTAAAACCTTTGACCTGGAAATTAAACAAACTTTTTTTTAAAACCTCCAGAAAATGACTTTAGAAATCCAAATGAACTTCAAATAGTCTCTGTTGTAGCTCTGTGTGTTTTTGGCTTTGGTGTTTGGCATTAGTTTTGTGTTTACATTAAATAACATGGCCAGCATTTAAGGTTAATACCACTGCTTGTCTGCTGCTAACATGCACCCTGTAACTCTGTCACTGATAGTGTTTTTGTTACTCTTCAGTTTTAGTTTCTCTGTTTTGTTTTTCTTTCTTTAGTCTAAGTCTAAAAAGCCGTTTTGCTGTTTTAAGTCTCGTACATAATCAGAATCCTGAAGCAGAAGAATATAGATGAAAATAAAATGATGTTTATAGATGGACTGAATTCACAGCTGGTATCACTTTACTGTAGTTAATAATGAGGAAATGTTAAATTGCTGTTAAATTACGCTGCTGAAGTCAGTAAAGATGTATCGCTGCTCTTCCTCCCAATTACTCTGTGTTTTTTTTTTTTTTATGAGGTTTGTGTGTGAGAACGTTAGAGTGTGTTTCAGCGTATGAAATACTCTGGATAATTCAGAAATTAGGATTTATTTTAGTTGAGACTGCTCCCTATAAGGTTTTAGTTTAGTTTTGACTTTCAGCTTTTTCTTGGTCTGTTTGGAGGGAACGAGGATTACCGTGTCAGGCTGTAAACTTCACAATCCTAGTCTCATAATGATCATTTTGGTGTTCAGTGTTTGTACACACGGGGGTCTAGCAGGATCTGGATTACACTCACAGGTCTCCTTTTCTCTATGACAGACCCTGTAATCAAAGAGTTGTTGTTGGATGTTGGAGTAGAAAGAAGAGGAACAGCAGGTCGTGTTCAAAGTTACGCTCAGAGTTTGGCGCCCGCTGTAGACGAGGCGATGCCTTCTATCTAAGTCAGTAGATTTACATGCACAGCTCGATTAGACGATTTGATCGGATTGAACTTATTCCAGTAGCAGATTAGATCTTAAAAATAACTGACTATATAAAATGTTTCAGTCATATTGCTCCTGTAGTTGATTATCAGTTTTATAGAGTATGTGTCTTTCTCCTCACAGGAGCTTTAACTCCCAAATCTAAAGGAGCCTCGGTCTTAATTTTCTCTGCTAATGAGAAACATAAAGCTGTTTTTGTTGGAGCTGAACGTTGCTGATGTTTTCGTGTGCTCGCTGTATGTGCATGTTTGCAAAGTAACATCTAAATATAAATCTGCTCATAATGTGTGAAGCCCTTCTGCTTCCACATCCATTTCTCAGTCGTTTCATTGTCCTGCAAACAAAAGCAGCATTTCAGCATTAAACACTCTCGTCTCTGTACAGTGAGTGAATGTATGTCTGATCAACTGCCTCAGCATTTCTTCTCTCAGAGACTCAGCCCACAAACTTTCTCTGCATGTTTGTTGAACTCTCGTTGCACTTCCAATCAATTCCCAAAAGGATCTTTCTGGAAAAGTTTTGCGCTCTTCTCAACCATGAGGATTTCCAACCCAGCAAGCATTTGAGTGACAGCAGTGTGCAGGAGCTGGCCGAGTGTTGTGCCTGGATGTTTTTACCCCCAAAAATAGGAAACCCCACTGGTAGCATGTCTTAGCATCGGTTTGAGACCAGGAGGAGGTGCTTTTCATCCCTAAACACCGTCTTTCATCGATTCTCTGTGAATATTGTTGGAGGATGAAACATGTTCTGGTTTGGTTTTAGGTGTTCGACATCCTGGGAGAACGGATTTAGCTCAGGTTTACAGAAGAGATGTTGAAGTCGTCTGTAATTTTCTTGTCAGATAAGATAAGATGTTCCTTTAATAGTCTCACAGGGGGAAATTCAAAATAAAAAGATAAATAGATTACATGTTGTCGCAAAGGCTCTGTATTTGCTATGTCTTAGCATGCACCTGATTAGGGCCCGAGCTGAGAGCGCAGCTCTGCGGCAAAGCCCTATTGTAATCCAAGGGGTTCTCCATTATTATTATTTTTCAGCCTCCGAAAACGCTAATTTGACCCCTGAATGACCTCAAAAACTCACGAAAATTGGCAGGCAGGTTAGGCCCAGCGAAAAATGGCTCGCTAGCGCCCCCTACAGAGCGCCACGAACGTCGACTTTGTCCGATCTGCTGGAAATTTTACAGGCACGTGTATCTTAACGAGATCTTTGATTTTGGGCGCTTATTCTTTTTTCTCAGATGCACAGTTAAAGAGTTATTCCGCTGTTTTTGGCCCATTTTCTCCATTTGCATATGTCATGCCAAACATATCTAATTACTGTTGAAGTCTTAATCTCCTTTTACCAACAATAGCTCAGTTAAATCCTCAAAACTTAAATGCATTATTGCCTGAAGCTCACCCTGAGGATGAAGAAAGGGTACGAGGAAGAGATTTCTGGGAAAATAAACTGAGGTGAAGTGATACTCTAAACAAACGCAGACACAAACATTTCTCATATTTATTTAAAAAGAGGGAGTATCTGCAGCATCAGTGCAGCATTTCTGCAGAAAACATGCACAACAGACAGCTGATGGGGTTTGAGAAGCTGTCATCTGCAGTTGTGTTTGTAAACTTTGGTTAATTTTCTCACCCGGAGCCTCACATAACAGTCTTACAAAACACAACATGACGCCAGACTTGGATAATGAAAATAGATCACCACTGGAGTCGCAACAGGGGGGGCAGGACATGAGCTAAATCCATCCTCGCTCCTCCCCCTCTGCCTCACACGCTGTAGTAATTTAATAATAGCACAGATACATAATCTCGGTGTGTCGTCACTGGAGTATGACGTAAATCTCCATGACGTAAGGGCATGCTGGGAGCTCAAAGGATTGCCGTATATGGCTGTGGCGATCAGCAGAGCTCGCAAAGCTCGACTGTGACGCAGAGCCAACCCGTGACTGCAGAGTGAGAGGGAGAGAGGCAGCTGCAGTGCAGCCAGTGAGCCTGGAAGAGAGAGCTGTAGCCTCATTGTAGCAGCAGATCGGGGGCAGTCGTGACTGCAGAGCTCCGAGCCTGCAAGCCACAGCCGAGAGAGCGATGCAGGACTATTTTTAGGACGGCTGTGCATGGGTCGGCTGCAGTTTCTAAGCAGAGGAAGTCACTTGACTGGTTTGCTCAGGCTTTTCTTTAGCCCGAGAAATTCTCTTTCATCAGCACTTCGTGACGCACAGCTGAAGCGTTCAGCTGATGCACTGATTACACAAGGGTAACCTAAATTCTGGAAGGAGATCAGCTGCACCTCAGGTCCATGAGTGTTAAAGACGGAAATAACCAAGACTGCAGCAAAACAGCAGTTTCAGACCAAATGTTAACATACATTTTCTAATGAATCCCTAAATATCTAGTTCTTCCTTCTTTTCTTCGGCTGCAGTTATTTGAAGTTTACTGTGTTTGACTTCAAATGCACCAAGAAACACTTTACAGCGTGTTATGATGCAGACTCCAGTAAATACTGGGGTCTCTAAGTGACCGACTAAAGCAAAGCAGGTCATTAGTTAAGTCATCAGCGAGCTCCTGAAGCTGACCCTGAAACTCTTACCCCCTATCCTGAATTGATGTTGCAGTCAGGTCACTAAACCTCGAGTCGTAGTGAACCCTTAAAGGGATATTCCTTAAAGCCATAAACAAACCTCAACCAGAACGCCACTCTATAACGACAAATAATGCTCAGAACAGCACCTAACTTCATCAACAGGACATATAGGGTCCCAGCTACAGTACTAGACACCAAACATCTTTTTAACTTTGCCTGATTTCATTAGCAAAGAGACTAAACACAACTCACCTACTCTCTTCCAGCAGCGGCTTGTTTGTAGCGAAACCTCGGGCCAGTCCATTACGGACTGCTGCGGGGTGACGCAGCTTAAGGAACAACATTTATGATCATTACTTTATCATTTCCTTGAAGTAATAATCACCATATTAATCATTAATCACTGCAGACGCGGTAGTTCTTCTGTTTTAGCGTCTCAGTCTGATTGAATTTCCATGAAGAAATGATCATAAATGTTCTTCCTTGAGCTGCGTCACCCCGCTGTAGTCC